GCTTGCTACATTTCTTAGAGGCTAGCTTGTAGTGTAGCTAAGCTACATTTTAAGTAGAGTAGCTAATAACTTGGCTCACTACATTTTTCAAGTAGCTTGCCCAACACTGGTAATGTCAACAAAAATCTTTTACCTGCATTAAAATACCCCATTCAAATCCATACAGTGTGTCTGGTTATCTATTACCAATAGTATACAATAAGATCCTGGTCAATAAAAATAAGTTCCCAAACTTATTTAGTTTCTTTTTAATTATTATTAAAAAAAAACTAATTTATTGCGTCAGTGTTCAAACAGCTTTCAGCTGCTAATATGACATTTTTGCCATTTACATGGGCTCATCTCCTAAATGCGATTATTCCAACATGATTTTGAAGCATTATGGGATTGTATGTGGATTACATGTTTATAGCCATTATGGCAGCCTATTTGGTTATATAGAAGCACATCATTTATGTTTTTATTCTGTCCAAAGTGCTGAGAAGTTCAGCTCATTTATCAACTGGGGAGATGGGATCTGAGCTCTCCATTCTTTCCCTCATTGTCTGTTTGACGGAGGAGGGAAGCGGAGGACTAGGGTGGGTGTAGAGTCATTCATCCTGAAAGGCTTCCTCCCCCCATCTGCTCATGTGTCATCATCGCATGTCTGCCTCTGATACCCAGGTGACTGTATCACAGTGTGAGCTAGAGTCACAGCTTCAAGCCATCCTGTTTGGAAACTGGCAGTTTATTCTAAGTGAATTAGAGGGATAAGAGACAAACATCCTATGAACGCTACTGGATTTGGATTGGCAGTCGAAGACAGTCTTTTTTTTTTTTTTTTTTTTTTTGAGTCAGATTGATCTGCACTGCAGTTGCTCCAGAAACATACCACTGTGCATCCATATAAAATAGTAGTACTTTGAGGGAAAAGATTTGGATTGATTCTAATAACTTGTTATGACTTGTTATGGTTAATACCTGCTAAATAGCATATTACTTATTTTAATTTGTTTTATAGTAAATAAACATTAATATTGAAGTGCAGTTCTGGTTCTATCCTACAATTGTGAAAGCAGTCACTCAATAAAAAAAAATACTAAATTGTGATAACTTAGTGTTGAGTCAAATTCAAGTCAATTCACTCAGCAACCGTCTTTGAAACGCCGTTCAGGCATTCTGTCTGAATAGGCAAACATCAAATTCTCCAAAACTGTTTGCCAAGCTTTTGATTTCATATGTGGAATCACCAATACAATTAAACAACAACTGTCCCATGTATAAGTGTCAATTCTAAATGTTCGAATCAAACAAAATCTGCTTATTTTCTGGTTGCCAGAGCTAATGCACATGGCATGCGCACTCGAAAGGAACAAGATCATGACACCAACCTCATTTATGACTGTGTTACACATTATTGTCCTCTGGATAACAGTTCGTCTGATCACACTGCTTCACTGAAGTAATTCACAACTTGGTCTTGATGGTGAATCTCCTCCCGAAATGACAGCAACTCTTTGTTTACAAGTTTGTGGGTGTTTGAGTAATTGCTGTCATGTGATGGGTGTTTGATTTGGGTTCTTTCGCCATATTGACCGCTACACTTTTCCCCATTTAAAACTATATAATATAAGTGACATGTCTTGTGTATTTTATAGTCTTTGGACAAACCTGTTGGGTACAATTTTTAAAATTAAAGTTGAAATACACTTTTTAACTCATTGGCTGGGTTTTTCTGTATTTGATTTTGGGTTACAACAACCCAGCCTTTTTTTTTTTGTAAATTACATTTCTTAAACACGTTTTACTATTAATATTACTGTATTACTGGATACTGAATAAACTCTTTGTACACTAAAAAATAACATGATCTTTACTAAGTAACATCACCAACTACTAAGTTGGCATCCATAATAAATGTGGTTTGTGCTATTGTCTATATGTGTACAGTATACGTTTTGTTTAGTACATTGTTTGCTTGTAGACTTACTTTGAATGTAAAAAACTTTACAGATGATTTTAACCTTAGGATCTGTATTCATCAGTCATATTTTCTGACAAGTGCATATTTGTGAGAAATGGTTTACCATATCATTCCTATATAAAAATAGTCGAAGCATTCTTTACAATGTCTGAAATCTGCATCACTTTCATAAGAGTTTTCTTTAGTGCAAGAAAACTGCAACAAATTTAGTCTACATTTACACAATGATATAATCAAAAACAGAAAAGTTTTTCTCTGTTCATTTAAAAAAAAAAAGTACATTCAAACAACATTTTCAAACTGATTCACTGGTACACATTTATTCAATAACCAGCAGAAATGCTGTTTTCGCTCAATAAATGGCACCTATACTATTAGCCTTTTGTGTGCAGGTGTTCTGTCACTAAAATCACCACATGAACTGTTGCTCTACTTGTCATTTACTTCTTATTAGTCTCTGCTTTTGGTTTAATACTGGTGAAGAAAATTCCACACTTCACTAAAGCCAAAAAAGAAACTTGAGCAGCCATAGCACCACAATATACCCCACAATTGTCATATATCCCCATAAATATTGGGACTTGTCTTTAATATCGACACAGTTAATTCCCATGTTAGGTGTTTAATTAGAAGCAATAGCGCTGTCATTTCCAATCCCCAAAAACATTTTTTATATCAGTCAAAATGCAAAAATGTTGAAATGCAAACAGCCAATTATATTGCATTAGTATATTACTGTAACTTTTCCATGGGATCATGAATACCGCTCTACCATATGGGTGTAAAAATGACACTGTGAAAGTTCCTATATTGATGATATTGTCATGATTGGAATGGAGATTCAGCCAAGGAGCTGTCAGCATCAGCTAGGACTCTTCTAGGGCAACAACAGCTTTCGGCTTCCTGGTTTTTTTGCTGTTCTTTTTTGCAGTTTCCTGCAATAATGAGGAGATCAAAGCTGAGACGGCAGCATGCTCAATCCTCAGCCTGTGTTCAAAGGCTGTCTTCTCTTTGAGGAGAATCACCTTTCTGCTCAAGTCCCCTGCTGATTTTAACAGCCCTTTATGGCACAGTCTCCACTCTTGATGTTCATTCTGGTGATGTGAAAAGAAGACAGCAAAGCTTTTATGGCAGTATTATTACAACTCGTATAAAACTTTATTTGGGGAATTGGAAGAGTAGGACCACTTCATGAAGAGGATCCAATAGTCTAGTGCACCACCTTCATTACAAAGCAAACACCACTCTTAGTCCTATATCTGAGATGATGGGCTCTACCAGATAGAATAATTGATTTGCAGACTTGAAACATTTAACATATACATGCCTTGAAGTTGGAACAAGGGTGGTAACCATACACCAATCCATGGTTCAGTTCGATTTAAGGTATTAAAGCCACAGTATGGTTCGGTTCAGGGCAGAGTTGTGGTTTGGCACAAGCAATAATAAGGAACACCAGGGTTAGTTCACCCAAAAAGGAAAATAATTATGAAATTAATAATTATTAAATAATTTTACTTGCTGTTTAGTAGCCATTTCTTAATAAATGTTCATACACCACATTTTTTTCTGTATATAGTATCTGTTCAAACTTTTCTAATCATAAAGTGTGGTTTTAATGGTCTTGCAAATTACAAATGCTGTAAATTAAAGAGTACTCAATAAGTTCTACATATTCTTGATGTCTAAAAATGTATATGTCTTTGTGGTCTGTCTCAATAGAAGATTTACTGACTCAGAACATGCAATAGATTTTGTCCCTTTCCCCATTTGGTTTGGACATTTGTGCTGTTCTTGCATTACTGGAATATGGTTAACGAATGTAGGCCAACAGGAAAAGTGAAGTAATTATCAGATTAGGTGTCAATAAACACATCCATGTCATTGTTAGTACTTTTATCTGTTTTCTTGTGGCACAACTTATTTCGACATCAGTAAATCTGACACTGAACTGTCAAAACTCCTGGTTCAGCTTAGAATGGGTGTGTGACTCAACAATGAATCTCAGGAATGTGTGTTTGTGTGGGTGGCTGACTGGGTGTTATGGTTGTGGTTGTGGTTTGGTGAAGGAAATCCCACAATTGTGACATTATCTCCACATGCCCACACAATGTTTGACGTATTGTTTGGTAAAATTTCTGGCATTTGTAACATTTTCTGGAAGTTCAGATGATGACGCTTTCGAGTTCAGTGAAACCATATACAATGATTGAGTTTGCAAAATAGCAGTTCATTGGTTGGCAGTGGTGAGCCATTTTAAAGGGCGTATACTTATTAATGCTGTTGTTTTGAGTTGAAGTTGTATTTACTTAAAGTATAAGCATAAAATAATTGCTGTTAATCTACTCCCCCACACCATACAAAATTTAGGTGACTTTTTTTCACCTAAATGGTGTCTCCATGCTAATGACATAATACACCCTCGATTTCTGGTTTGGGTTTATATAAAACAGGAAAACACCAAAGATGCTTTTTAATATGTTGCGTGTTTTATTGGATTAGCAATATAACAGAACCTAAGTGTATTTAATTTGATAAAACAGTGCTGCTGCTCCACTTGATCATGACCAGAAGAACAGTGGACTGGTATAATAATAAAAACTCTGCTGCTTTTATGCCACATTGTGCTTGTCGCTCATTAGCAAATGCTTCAGTACTCTTATTCTTCTTCATACTACCATAATAATTAGTGTTTAATACTTAAGCTCATCCACAAATATGATTTTAACTCCCATGATTTCACCCTCAGTCACTAGATCATCAAATTTTGCCTTTGTTTGTTGTGAATTCATACCCTCTGGTGGTGAATATGTACGTACAGCACCTTTAAAAAAAGATTGGTGATCATAAATTCAGCATTTTAAGAGTAGATAAAAGCACAACGGAGTTAATATTTGTGGCTCCTTTGGAAACTTTGAGGTCACATGAAGCAAAACAATCAGTGCAAGAAAACGCACAATTGTAGCTATTGGCTAACTTTCCCACGGTTATGACAGAATCATGTTAATGGATACTTATCTTGCTTTCCTCTTTTCAGTTGTGTTCAGGTAGTGGAGCACCATGCTGCTGATATCGATGTTTATCACTGTCCAAACTGTGAGCCCATCCATGGACCCTACATGAGTAAGTGTGTGCATCTGCACAGGCTTTCATTATGTTTCCAATATCAGTCTTACGCATGTTTCTGTTTCTTTCTCAGTGAAAAAGCATAACAACTGGCACAGGCATGACTACACGGAGCCAAATGATGGCACACGGCCCGTGCAGGCAGGAACTGCTGTGTTTGTGAAGGAACTCCAGGCCAGGAGCTTTGCCAGGTACAAACACCTCTAGATTAAAACTTTTATTAGGTGTTGAACTTTACTACTGTACATCTACATTTAAAGGAACACTCCCATTTTTTGGGAAATGGGCTTATTTTACAACTCCCTTTAAGGTAAAAAGTTGAGTTTTACGTTTTAAAAAAAATCCATTTAGCCAATCTTTGTCTGGCAGGAGCACTTTTTGCATTGCTTAGCATGGATCATTGAATTGGATTAAACCATTAGCTTATAGCTCAAATGACTAAAGAGTTTGTGATTCTAATATAGTTATCTATGCTAAAAGTTTTCACGCCAGACCTGGAGATCAGCTGAATGGATTAGAAAATGGTGAAACTTAACGGTTTAATGAGCCGCTGTTATGGGTTTTTGAAAATTATTGTCCATGCAGTTTGTTATACAGCTCTAAGTGATAAAAAACATCCAGTTGAGGTTTTGATTCTCAAAAAATAGTGGACTTGTTGTCATTTATATGAATAGTCTAATGCCTCATTCACACTAGCAGAGAATGTGGCCTGCTCCTTTAAAAGTATGCATAAGGAGACTTTTATCCAAATAAAAGTACATTCTTTCTATCAGTTTTTGTCTCTCTTTGGTATCAAACCCACAGCTTTTGCTATACTAGCACACAAACTTTATTATTTTGACTACAAAAACCAATAATGACATTATTGCTCTTACTCGATCAGACTTTTGAATGTTGCCTCTTCCACAGCGGTGATATTCTGGTGCAGATGCAGGGGAATCAGGTGACCAAACGCTTCTTGGAGAAAGAGGGCTTCAATTACCCTATAGTGGTGCATGACCTGGATGGACTGGGGCTGAAACTGCCCCCTCCATCATTCTCTGTCAGTGATGTGGAGCATTACGTTGGTAAGATTTTAGAGTGTGTGTTTGTGTGCATTGAATTTACTGTCTACCTGATGACTCCCAGGAGAGTATTTGGGCTTTTGGGACACTACAGTGATATTAGTATTTAAATCAATAACACATTGGAACTTGTACAAAATGGTTTGCCTGTATATGGTTTTCTGGCCTCAAAAAGTGTAATGCTGCTTTATTTTTACCATTTATTAATATTTGTATTGCATATTTGCTTTATTCTGTGCTAAAATAATGGCCTATCATATGTTTTTGCTGTGGTTTACTGGAGAAGTACTGCAATGGCATTCAGTGTAACAATGTTGTTTTTTTATTTTAATTAATTTTCATTTTATTAATTATAAAGTGTTTAAAATGTAACAACGTTTACTATTATCCATTATTTTTTTTATTCGTTTTGAAGAAATAACTTATAAGTATTAGTTATGACCATGTGACTTGAGTTATGATGATGAAGTTTATCTCTGAAATCCCAGGAATCCATTTAGTTTTTAAATATGTTCATATAGTCATCAACAGTTAAATTATTGAATAAATACTGTTTTTGGTGAACTCTGGAAGTACTCTAGTATTTTAAAAGTATTTTAAAAGAATTAAAAATCTTATGGAGTGTTTACACCAGACTTGGCTTGCGCAAATAGGTCACGCTATTGCACATTACTTACAGCTCAGCTAGTCCCAGTTTGTTGAACTTTTGTCCCGTGTCGGCAGGAGGATTTTCTATTAGGACACTAACAACAGGTGACACATCATAATCATGCCCCTACTAGAGCAATCTCCTGATTGGTTATAGTCTGCCAAAGTTCAGATTTTTTAAACTCGAGTGATTTGTGCGAACCACGTGGTAAGTGCTTTATACACCTGAAACGATTAATTCACACCTAGTCATTGGCTCAACTCGAGTCATTCGCACTGCCTTATTCGCACAAATAATGATACAGCAGTTATGATGTCTTTGCATTGACTTAACATGTAAATCCCTCGCAACTGACACTTCATCTTATCTAGTGTGAGTATACCATTAGTTTTAAGACGTTTGACAGGTAGTGTAAACACTGCAAAAAAAAATTTTTATGTTGTTTCTGTCCAAATATGTAATAGTTTCTAAATCAAGAAGCATTTTCTAGAAGAGAAAAACATATAGTCTTGTTTTAAGAAATAATATGCCAAAATTAAGTTTGTTTTTCCTTAAAACTGGCAAAATAATCTGTCAATGGGGTATGCAAAATAATCGTATGTCGAAAGGAAAAACAAGATTATTTTGCTTGAATGAATAAATGAATGAATGAATTAATTAATAAAGCATAAAAAGTTGTTCAAAAAAGACATTTAAATGGATATAACAAAAAAAAATTAAGCATTCAGAGGTGAATTAAATAATTGCGCAAACCTGTATTGTGTTTTTAATCATTAGAGAATATAATGAGAGCCAACATATGCAGCACATTGGTCTAAAAAGCTTGAGGTTAGCAAGATTCATTGTGATAGTGGTTATCTGTCTGTCTGTGCCAGTGTTGAATGGGTTTGGACTGGACTCCTGTACAGCTGTGGAGGTTATCATTTGTCTCTCCTCTACATTAGACCTCTAGACATCACATCTCCAGTTACAGAGCTGTTGTGCAGCGCAGCCAGCCAGAGCTCGGCTTCACATCTGAGCTGTTTTATCTCAGCGCTCATGTTACACTGCTCCCTCTTTCACACACTGCTGATCTTTAGGCTGGAAGTGCTTTAATAGTAACAGGTGTCGAAGGGGAAGAGGTGTGTACGTGTATGTGTGTGTGTGTGTGTGTGGGCGACTAACAGATCATGTTACACACTCAGTGGGCACAGACAAAAGGCCACTAACCTTCTCTGTCTGTTGTTTCTTTCATTTTTCTCCATTCATCTGGATTTATTTCCTTAGATGATTCTCACAAGCACTCATTCTTCTACTTATGGATATATTTAGAGGACAGAATTTTGATTGTAGACTTTCATTTTATACACAGCATTATTTAAAAATAATAGTAATACAAGAAGTTTAAATGATGGTTGACCCAAACTGAAATATTTAATTATGATATCATACAGTGCTCAGCATAACTGACTACACCACATTTTGAAAATGAATATTTTTATTAATTTCTCAGTGAACATAGGCAATGTATTTTGGTGCCGTTTAATCAATGTGTTTTGAGCAAAACACATTTATTAAACGGATATATTTATTAAAATAATATTTTACCAGACATATTAATAAATTGAAAGATAATACAATTAAATTCAAGCAAAATATTAAAAAAAAATGCAATCTACAAAATTTCAACTAATTGAAAAATAGTGCCCGTATGGTTCAAAAAACACTATGCAGTATTTATTTTAGTATATTGTCTTGTGGGTGTTAAACAACTGAAAATGGATTGATTGGACTGTTACTTTTTACCTGGTACCTTTTTGTTAACATTTATTAATTATTATTTAGGGTATGTGCATGTGATAGGGTAATCACATTCTGATTCCAATGCCTAATTATTGAATTGTTAAAATGACTATAATTATATTTTCCTAGGAATAAAATATTATGTGTTCTTTGGAGGAGTGTAGTTGCATTGTATAAATATAATATTATATAAATGGCATAAAATGGTCTTAAAATGACAATAATATTATTTATTACAATATATTTTGGTGCAATATATCGTGCAATAAAAATAGATATCGTGGCAGGCATAATTGAATGTACTTCAAAAGGTTGTGTTTGGAGTCTGTACTTTGCATGTCAATTTGTAGACTTGATGACTAATTATAAATAAAAAAAAAGGATTTATTGAACTGCACCTTTAAATGTTGACTTCTGAATTTGAACCAGTGATATATATGTAGATGAATTTTCTGAACCATACAAATAGCAGCACTGGTTCAAAAGCAGAATTTAGCAGTTTTGTTTTGTTCCCTAATTTGGCCTTGAGTGCTTCCCAGTGTTTTTTACGGGACTGTTACTCCAGCTGTTGCCTGTCATCAGACGCTGGCCAGCTGTGTATATGTGTGTGTGTTCAGTGCCAGCTGTCCAGGGCTGTTTCCGGTGCTCAGCTGTCATTGGTGATTTGCGGTCCTGCAGCTGCGACTCTAAAAAAGCCATATTACAGGCCATATTTTTGTTAAACCAACATCTATAATGCATAGCACAAAATTTATGTATGAGAAAATCGGAAAATATTGTGTTGTCTTTTTCCAGGTGCAAATAAAGTCATCGACGTGATTGATGTGGCGAAACAGGCAGACAGTAAGATGAAGCTGGGAGAGTTTGTCAAATATTACTACCAACCTGAACGGCCCAAAGTGTTGAATGTTATCAGCCTGGAGTTCTCTGATACAAGGTACGTCTATCAGTCCCTCATTGATGTTATCACAAAAAAGCCTCAAATTGGGAAGCTTAGGATTGTATACATTTCTAGCAGAATTCAGACATTTTTAGCAGTCGACCACACTGAATGCCACTTCTTCCATGACTTCCTGAAAAACTTGCTAGATTCACTCCTTAGCTACCAATGAGAGGAATGTCTGAACTCTTCTTCTGACCACAATGCTGCCATTTTAGATGCTTGTTCTTGCAGTGGTATAAAAATGATTTTATCTTGCAAGCCAACAATACAGCGGTAGCTGCTGCTGACTATTTAAATGCAGTGGTTTGGTGTTTTATGTCGCAAATTTATTGACGCTGGTAGTGACATTCTCTCTGACCAATCAGTGATCATCCTTGTGCATGCACCACATTTTGGTAAAGGTATGGCGTGTTTGTAACCTCACTTGAGGTGGTAGTAAAAAAACAAAACAAACAGAAGTAGGTACGAAACGCAGTGGAATATTGAATTTGCTTATTAAATAATTTATTAAATATTTATAATCTAAAATCCTGGTGTGTGTGGGGAAACAAGTGCATATCTAAGCCAGAGATTATCACGTGAATTTAAGCAATATCCTATCAGAAAGCAAGCTGACAGAAACATAACAAATACAGTCATGATGGAGCACATGGGTTTGGACAGCAGAGATGGAGGACCAGCTTTTTACGGAGACCCAGAAGAGACGTGATAGTGGGGAAAAATGGGTGAAAAAAAAAGTGATTGGAAAATATATTTTTTGAAACACTTCCTGTTCACTTTATACACGTCAACCCTCCTGTTATTGTCGGGATTCTCCTGTATTTTACCACTCTATCTTGCTATCATCCTATCACTAAGTATTTTGCCATATTTCTTATATATTTTTAATCTTGAAAGCACACTGAAATTAATATAAAAACATCTGCATTCAATTTCTTTCCCTTAAAGCTGTGCGTCGATCATCGCCATTTTACACGCCATTTAAAGTTACACCTCTGTTATCAAACAAGTGAAGTACAGCTAATGAATCTCTCGTTTTGTTTTGTTTGATAACAGAGGTGTCACATTAAGAAAGCACAGATCTATGATGAAAGCATTCAATTGCTTTATAAACTGATTGTGATCATTTAAGAGAAAATGAGTTGTGTTTAAAATAAAACGCGCAGAATGAACATATTATTAAGAGTATTTGTCTGTTTAAACACACACCCAAATCACAAAGTGTCCTGCACTTTCGCTCCTCTTTAAATGGCGGCAAACAGTTTTGTGAGGGAACATAAAATCTTTAAAAATATATATTTTCTTGTCACTGTTTACGCATTTATTTCCCCACCATCATGTCCCTTACGGGTCTCCATAGCTTGTCAATCTATGGCAACATCACAAATGCTTATTTGTCCACCATGTTTAATCTCATGTCTCAAGAGATTTTGCAAGATTTCCTGAGACGACATCCAAGAGTCTGACTGAAAATCAGTTAATGAGTTGTGTGGTCTTTGTCTTTATGGCACATCACACACTGTAGGGTTTGTTTTGTCCTTATATTTGTGGACTCTAACATTTGGGAAATACAGATTTAAATAATCTTTAAGTGTGTACTCAGCCTGAAGGAAGATTTGTATACAGTTATGTAGAGATGAGTTGTATCAACTGCTTTTTTAATATCAGATTTTTGTGTATATTTTACTATTTTAGGATGTCAAATCTGGTGGTGGTTCCTGATATCGCTCAAAAGATGTCCTGGGTTGAAAACTACTGGCCCGATGACTCGTTCTTCCCCAAACCGTTCGTGCAGAAGTATTGTCTTATGGGAATGAAAAACAGCTACACAGATTTCCACATCGACTTTGGAGGAACTTCAGTGTGGTATCATGTACTTTGGGTGAGAACTGATACTAGCCCTGATTGAATGGTTTTATGGCTGATCTGCTGATGTTCCAGTTATGTAAGCAATGAGTGCTGGTGATAAGTGGTGTGTGTTTGTTTATTTTTGCGCAGGGAGAGAAGATTTTCTACTTGATCAAGCCAACGAAAGCTAACCTTGCACTATATGAGGCCTGGAGCTCATCGCCTAATCAAAGCGAAGTTTTCTTTGGGGAAAAAGTCGACAAGTGTTACAAATGCGTGGTGAAGCAGGGAACTACCATCTTACTGCCTACTGGTGAGATTGCAGAATTAGACTTTTATGTAGCATTTTGCGTTTCTTCAACAGTTCATGCTCATCCTCGTACTGCCACACACTTACATGATTATGAGATCAGATCCTTCTGAAAAAAAAGTAAAATATTTTTGGAGTTTTTAATATATATATATTTTTTTTTTATATATATTTAAATTATTTTTGTCTTTTTTCTTCAGAAGAAAAAAATATTATCAGACTTACTGTAAATCATTTGGGAAATATTTAAAAAAGAAAAAAAATCTAAGGAGGGCTAATAATTCTGACTTTAACTGTGTATACGCAAGTATAATATTTATATTGCTCATATTGATTTTAAACTCTTTAACTTAAATGTTAACTTAATAAATTTTTACAAGAGAACAGATTTGTCACTAATCCTTGTATTTTATTTGATAAAAATGTACAAATGATTAATTTAGTTTACATTTATTAAGTAATTATACAGTTAATTAGTAAAATATTAGAAATCTCATTTCGAGATATGAAGCAACAAAACAAAATGACTAAAATATGAATGAAATATTAATACATTATTTAAATAAAGGGTTGTTTTATTATTGTTGAAACATAGCTAATAAATGCTTTACAAATATTTTAGTAATAACAAATATTTATACATTTTTACAGAATAAACCTCATAAATTTGTACTATTATTGTTATTATTAACATTCATATTTATTATTATTATTATTATTATTGGTGTTATTATTAGAATATTTTGAACTCTGACGTCTACCCACCCCACTGATTTTTTTACCCCATCATACACCCCCACATTATTTTCATAACTTATACTACCCATAATCACTGCACTGTTTAATATTTGCAGATTTAAAAATTGCACATATTCAATGCACTACATTGCACTGATTCATGTTTTATTGTTTATATCCACTGTACATATACATCTGTAATGGTTCATATATATCTGCAATTCTCTGATTATTATAGCAACCAGTACATATATTTATCTATTGTAAATCTCTGATCATCCGTATATATAATGTTTTTAGTAGATCCATCTGTAAATATCATCATAGTTTTTCTATAATTGCACTCTATAGCCTATTATACCCAAATCCTGCACTTGCTGCTATTGCTCTCTTGGTTAAACGTAACCTGCATTCCATTGCTTTGTACATGTGTAATGACAATAAAGTTTAATATAATTATTATTATTTTGAAGCTTGTTCAAGAAATGACTTAAATAGTTTTCTATAAAAATCAACAAAAGGGCAAATAGGAAATGTTAAATAAAAAAATGAATAAACTAACAAATCCTTTATCGTAGACACTTAAATTTGCTCAAATATCTTTCAGTGTCCTTAATTGACATGAAATAAAATGCTGTGTGCTATCACAGGAAAACACACACGCACAAACTGTACCACAAGGCGAAAACAATATCAGGCGATTTCCCTGCTCTCTTGCCAGGAAAATGTGTATCAGCATCCAGCACAGATGACCCTTGATATACAGAGTGTGTGTTGAGAAACAGGCTTCACTGAGCAACACCGTAAACAGAGAGAAAACACTATGATGTAACTCACGTGTGTCTCACTCAATGGAAAAAACGGCGCCTGAAAAAAAGTGCCTGCCTGTTATTTTAATCTCCAGAAGCACTGCGTTTAATTTGCATACACACACACAGACAGGGGGCTATAAATGGCCTTGACGGAGGTTTCAGTCATAACTCTTGTCAGAGAAAGGGATTCATTACTGCAGTCTGTGTGTGTGTGTGTTTGCGGTGCTTCCCTTTTTGAGCAGTGCGTCACACACATACTCGCATGAGGAAGCAGAAAATCCCCCTAGTGTGTTGCAATGTGGTGAATACACATGCAGCCAGACACGCAGATAAAGCTGACGTTTCTGTCAGAGTGCTGAGATTGTGCTGTTTATAGTGCTGGTCACTATTGTCAATTGTGTTTGTACACTAGTTAGTGTTGGTTAGTGTTTGAAAGGCAGATGTGGTGATGTTTTGTATGTGTGTGAGGGTTGAAACCTACTGCTTATTTTCACATTGTAATTAATTTTTTTTAAATATAATTATCTAGTTTAATTTCTGACAAAGGTTTTTATTGTCTGTAGTTGAAGAGCTTTTTAATTTTTTAATATCGTTTCCTGGTTAATGGGGAGAAGTTTTTTTCTACACTTTTTTTTTTAAACAATAGTTTTAATAACTAATTTCTAATTACTAATTATTTTATATCTTGACAGTACATAATATTGTTCTTACAGAAAGTTAATTTAAGTAAAATGTTTGAAAAGGTCCCTTCTGGAGTATTTTTAGAATATTTACCTTTAATCAAACTAAACGATTGTATATGACTCTCTTCTGTGTTGTTGCTACGTGAATGTTTTTTTTCCCCATGTATGTTAGTTAAGAAACTGATATGAATATATATTGTATATTTAGTATATGTTTTTGCCATGAATATAGCCAATGCTGCTAATATGGCATTAAAACCTAAATACATTTATAATAATGTTCTAATTATACATACACACATAATGCATATATACATGCATACATTCGCCGCTAGGGAAGTTAAATTTAAGATGATTCAAAATGGCCCACGCTGTTTTGGGGCCACCAGAGTTACTATTAAGGGGCCTAAAACCCCCCACCCCACTTCACTTTAGTCCACGACAGCCTCTACCTGAATGTTGTCATAGGACCTGTACTGGCCAGCAGCACCCCTGCGTACGTACATACATGCATGCATACATGCATACATACATACATACATAAAACTTTCTAATAAAGCTATACAATTTTTAGAGTTATGATGAATGAAAACATTATAAAAAATTATCTATCTATATAATGCATAAAGTTATTTAATATATGAAATGTTAATTCTTTTATTTTTGTCTGCTTTATTGTAAAATGTGTGCTGATATTAATGAAAATTGTGTAGAAATGTCTAAATTCATTAGATCATTTTCTTTTGGGCTTAGTCCCTTTATTAATCCGAGGTTGCCACACTGGAATGAACCACCAGCTTATTCAGCATATGTTATTACACAGTGGATGCCCTTCCAGCCGCATCCAAGCACTGGGAAACACCCATACATTCTTGCATTAATATCCACACATACACTACGGCCAATTAAGCTAAATCACCTATAGTGCATGTCTTTGAACTTGTGGGGGAAACTGGAGCAGCTGGAGGAAACTCACATGAACAGGGAGAACTTGCAAACTCAACACAGAAATGCCAATTGACACAGCCGGGGCTTGAACCAGCGACTTTCTTGCTGTGAGGCGACAGCGCTACCCACTGCGCCACCATGTTACCTAAATTCAGTTGTCTAAATTCTACACACTAAAACAAAAGTTTTATAAATTTATATATTTAAAATATTTAGGTGTTCCTTTCTGACCAGCCTGGAATAAATTGAAACAAAATAAAATTACATTTAAAATTACATTTCAATATGTTTAATGTCATTTATTTAATCATTAGATTTTTAAACAGACGTGTACAAAGTAAAACTACAATTAAATAAAATGGTAAATCTATTTGAAAATAATTATTTAATGTTTACTCATTTGATCTGATTCAAATTAAATGTATTTAAATTAATGTGATGAATCTTTCTAAATAAAATGTATAAATTAATTTTAATACTTGATGAATATAATGAATAACCTTAATGAATATGTCTGATATATATGCAGAGACATTGCTAAAAACTAAAAGGTTGAAAGTTTTTTTTTTAACTGGAATTGATGATTAGAGTAAGGTTAGCTTATGTGTGTTTGTCTCCCTCTACAGGCTGGATTCATGCTGTTCTCACTTCTCAGGACTCGATGGCGTTTGGAGGAAACTTCTTGCATAACTTAAACATAGACATGCAGCTCAGGTGCGATCCTTCAGTCGCGGTCTTTCTGAAAATCTTATACTTACACACTCAGCGTGTGTGTGTTTATAGATGTGTGTTTTCCTGACAGATTTGATCTGATTTCAGGTGTTATGAGATGGAGCGCAGACTGAAGACTCCAGATCTCTTTAAGTTCCCATATTTTGAGGCCATCTGCTGGTATGTGGCCAAAAACCTGCTGGAGACTCTTAAAGGTGAGGTGCATTTTATCATTGAAAAGTTAAATGTTTCAAATGAAAACAATGTAATATATTGTATTATACAAGCATGAAGAAAATTTGTTGTTGTTTTTATTTAGTTTGTGTGTGTATATTCGTATGCTGACTCTCTTAAGATGGAGTTAATAAACTGTTGTAAATATTTAATACATTTTTGTGTGGTTTAAAAAAAATAAATGACTAAAATGAATGCTCATTAAATTAAATCGATTCATAAAATGTGGAAAAAACTCAGTCAGTTCCCCTCATGTCCTTTTCTATTCAAATATTTGTTACTTTTAATTTAAAAAAGTGTTTAAAATATTTAATTAAAATTTTTATTTTATTATTTATTTTAATTATTAAATGTTTTTTTTTAAAGTTGCTTTAATAACATTAAGTTTAGTGTGAATATATTTTTTGTTTTTATGTAAAATATTTGCCCTCAAATAAAAATACAATATAATAAAGTAATTATTTTCTTTATTACTAACAAATGGGGGCAGATTTACATTGCAGTAATATAAAACAATGTTATGAATTTAATAACAATCTTTTATTTTTATTTTATTCATCTATTATTTTTATATTATTAGTAACCTGCTTGGAAATACAATTTTATGAAAATGGTAATAAAATTGTATTAAATGTTAGAATGTTAAAACATTTTTCACTTATTCGACTTTATAATTTGTTATGGAAAAGAGCCAATTGAATTAGAATTCTATACAAATAAAAATAAAATTGTGTGTTTGTGTTTGTTTTTTTACAGAACTGCGTGAGAATAAATGTGAAGCTCAGGGTTTTCTGGTGAACGGAGTGAAAGCTTTAATCTCATCACTGAAGATGTGGTTGAGGAGGGAGGTCAGTTTGTGTGCACGTGTGTGCGTCTGTTTGTACGTGTGTGCGCATGCGTGTGCTCTTCTTGCTCATCTTCTTCTCCGTCTGTGTCTTCAGCTCACTCAGCCTAACAGCGAAGTGCCAGACAACATCAGACCAGGACACCTCATTAAAGCTCTGAGCAAAGAGATCCGACACCTCGAGGTCAGAGCTTTAATTCATAACATGTCACATCTACAATATTCAATTTGTTTTCTCAATATTAGTTAAATCTAAATGTTCTTTTTTTTTACTGAAATATACGCCAATTTGTAATAATTTATTACATTTATTTAAATGTAGACAATTTATTAAAAAATTTTAGTTAAATAAAAAATGATAAAATGTCCACTAAAATATATGCTAATAAGATGTAAATTATATAAAAACTTGGAAAATGTGTTATTTTCTTAGTTTGAATTTGTGAATTATATTATAGTCAAATGTAGTGTAAGAGTTTAAATCATTTGTTTGTGAGTCAGATTATTTGAATTACATTGTATTAAAATGATTTTGTTGATTTTGAAATGTGAAATGTTGAATTCTCTTTTTTGTAAATTATTAAACTAAAAATGTATTATATATTTATTAATGAATTCAAAAAATGAAAATAATAATGTTTTTGTTTTAATAAGTCAGTGTATATTAATACAAGATGTAATTGGGCTCTTAAAACAGCTCTTAAATGTGATTTGCTGTGTTGTTTTCTTTAACAGGACGATTCCAATAAAGCTGTGAAAACTCAGGGAAGTGCTGAATGTTCTTTATCCCGCTCGACACTGGAGAAAGGAGATCAAGCCCAACAGGCTGCTCGGCGACTGCAAGATCATCATCATCACAGACGCCGCCACCACCATCACCACCATCATCATCATCATCACCACCACCATCATCACAGCCGAAAACTGCCCTCAAACCTGGACGTGCTGGAGCTCCACACACTGGAGGTGTTGAAGAGACTGGAGGTTGGCCAGCTGAAGGAGGTCAGTGCTGTGGACACTCTATTCTTTATCACGTTTTTTTTTTGTTTGTTTGTTTTCTGTATGTTAAATATGCTTAATGGCATTATATCATTTGTATTGTTTTTTTTTTCTATAGACAAGATTTTGTCTCTCTTTCTATCACTCTATTCTTAAAAAAAATACTGCAAGCTGCCAGAAAAACAAAAACCTTTTGGTAGAATCAAATGTTCATAATCTGGCATGTTGTGTGTGAACATGTTCAGAATACAGATGGGAATATACCTGTGCAGTCTGGTGTATGTAGAAGCTGCTGAAGTGGAGATTTATGACTCTAAAACCTCTCAAGAAACCTTTTATAAATATGTATTGCAATTAAAATCTACAGACACAAATTGATCAAATGCAACAAAAGAAAGACTAAAAAGTGTATTTTTTGTTGTTTGCAATTAGGCTAAATTTTGTTTTGTTTTTTATTTAAAAGCCCAAAGTCTCAGCTCAAAGTCAAAACTGACAGGTGCATGAAAAGCAGTGTTTTGGCCTGCAGTTTCTTACCTAACTACATGCTTTTCATGTTAAAACTAGTTTTTGTCCTAACTATCTGTGACAGCGACACATGAAATTGCTAATTTAGAAACAGTTTCTATGTCCATGACATTGCAACGAAACAGCAGCATAAACTATGACAATGATCACCTCAGGTACAGATTATTTGCTTTATCTGTTGTCAGATGCAAACAATTGTGAATTTGAACACCAGCTTATTTGGCATTTATAGTCATACTGAAAGCAGCAGCAGATAATTTACCTCAGATCTTAAAAAAATAACTAGCAGATGGCTTGAAAATGAATGTCAGGACTTTGACTCAGTAGCCTGTTATAATAAAGATTATAAACCTACCATTTCATTAGGAATGCAGTGACTGAAATTTCAATGAACGGCTGGTATTTAAATGTTTCTGTCATGTTGCGTCACGTTTGGTGCAGACAGACAAATTGCTTGCTGCTGGAATTTTGTCATGTAGTGTGTAGTCAGGACCCAGTGATGATCTTAGATTTCTCTAAAACAGCACTAAAAACAGTAACTAAAAACAGTACTACGGTGTTACCAAATAATTAAGTTTCTTTTTTACGTTTTTAACAATGTTCTCGTTGATATTAGATATGTTCACGGTTATTCTCTTTGAGCTCCAGTAAAAACATCTCTCATGTTTTGAAACAGGACTCGGCCTTCAGCTCCAAAGTCAATGGCAAGTTCAAGAAAGTGTGTCCAGTGCCTGCTGCGGCGGTGGAGGCTAGTCATGATAACGCCCTGCGGCTGGTCATGTGCAATGGAAAGATTATTCGGTGAGTAAATTGTAATTTCCATAGAAACTGAGTTTTTAAATGATCTTAGTCGTTGTTGTTTTTTCCTAGCTGTGGTTTGGTAACACAATTAGTAAAAATAAATTGGTCACTTTATTTTAATGTACAATTCACGCTAATAACAGAACATTAACTAAACTTTTAGATCATTAAAATACCAGTTAGCTGCATATTAATAGTTAGTATGGTGAAAGTTGGGTTTAGGTATTATGTAGGCTTATTAGATGCAAATAAACAGTTAATACAAGCCCCAAAACATATTGTTACTGTGATACTTATGTGATAGCTATACTATTTTTTTATGTAACTGTAATGATAAAACACAATATGACGACAACTATAATGCAAAACTAAATTATACAAATATTATAAAATATTAATTTTATGTAAATATGGGTCAAGCAAGTGTCTAAAAAGGTAAATCAAGTCTTGACGGCTATAGTGGTGATGCTGAAACTGCTTTGAATGAAGGAAATAACTTTTGTTTAATGATGTTTTAATGATGTACAAGTACTTTAATTGTAAATATATTTCTTAATGTATATATTTTTTCAGCTAATTAAAACAGCTGTGATCATTTAATAATAACATAAAATCCTACCGACCACAAATGTTTAATAGATAGTGTGTTTGTAATTCTAACAACTGAAGAAGTGTTTTTTTTCTCACAGGGAGAGGATGCCCATCACTAATGTGGCAGCAACAGTCAACGCCGTGGAGATGTACCATAAACACAGGATAAAGCTGGAAAGAATCCCAATGTGTCCAGAAGAAAAAGTTAAAAAAGAAAAATGTGAGGATGAATTTGGTGTACAATGCACTATAAAGAAACCAGTCAGTCAAGGTGAGTCACTTGGAGCTGTGAAGTTTGCCAGATTTTGCTGTCTGTTTATCTTTGACCCAAAAGCTTGATTTTTCTTTCATTTTCATGGTTGGGTTTTAATATGGAAGTAAATAAGTTTTGTTTTGACAGGTGAAAGTGTGCAGACAGAACTCAGGACAGAGTCGCCACATTTAGCATCTTCAGACAGCGACTCAAAGGCGGGTGATTCTGCTGAGGTAAGCTTGATGGTAAATAAGCACCTGCATATAGAAATCAGGTTACGTTCATATTCTTAAAATACAGGTGTCAAAATGCATAGATTCTTTACTTTGCTCAATAGATTGTAACCTTTTTCTCGTCTCTGTCACGCTTCCTCTAAACAGAAGTGTTCATTGGAGTCTGAGAGTTCAGATGGAGAGGACGGAGGAAGCCAGAGAGACTCAGGGACTTTTGTGGAGCATCTAAACAGCCACCGGCATAGCCACCATAAGCAAGCATTAAAACGGTATGCAGTTTTTTATTTCACACACCTGAAAGAATCTGCAGATTAAAATCCCATTAAATCATAAATTGAAGGTTAGAATCATTGTTAGTCTAAAGGCCCTGGTATTTCCAGAACTTAAATAAATTTACAGTATTTATATATATATAAATTATCTCTATTGTAGAATGGGAAGCTTATTTATTGAGGCACTTAAGACTTGTTTTGTTGTCAACTTGGTTTCTCACTTCCACTTGCATTCCCTACATGACACAGTGGAAATCTTTCACTGATTCACATGAAACTGAGTGTTCATACCAAGAGTTCAAATCAGCACATAAACTAAACAGTAGTTTCTCAGTGTTGATCTGAACTACATTACTGTCCACATTGCTTTGCTGTAACTGAGAGAGAAGTAACCGCAGGGTCACAATCAGTCAACATATAGACAATGAATACGTTCCATCTACTATCTATGTTCCTATTAAAAGAAGTGAGACTGTCGGATCACTGCTCCAGTGTCTAGATTACATAAAGTTTTGGATGGCTCTAATGTTTTAAGCGTCAATGAAAAGAAAACGGAAGTCATGGTTTTTAGGTATACTACTGTAACTTCCACGGTTGATTTGAGCGTTCTAGCACAGCACATCAAACCGACCATCACAAATTTTGGGGTTCAACTCGATCCTTAGCTAAAGTTGAACAACCAAATAGAGGAAGTGGTCAAGGCAAGCTTTTTCCAGCTGAGACAGCTGAGGAAAATAAAGGCCATTTCTGTCAAGACAGCAATTTGAAACTATAATCTATGCCTTTGTTACTACCCGCCTGGACTACTGTAACTCACTTTACATAGGGGTAAGTGGCTCTTCTGTGGCCCATCTACAGCTTGGTGCAAAATGCTGCAGCACGTCTTTTAACAGGAAGTCGTACGTTTAAATATTTTACTCCACACTTCACTGGTTACCTGTACAATATAGAAGTCATTTTCAAGTATTTTTGTTTGTCTTTAGATCCTTAAATAGTTCTGCCCCTCACTACAAATCTGAACTGCTACACCCCTATATACTGTCGCGTATATATATCATAAGGGTGGAGCCGAACCCGAATACGGTATTCGGAAAGGCACGAATAGCGTGTTTTTACGAATACTTGATTCGAACAAATACTTGAAAAATTATTTGTATTCGGGAGCAAGAAAAACACTATATCAAAAAGCAGCGTTTCCTCATGAGACCACAGTGCATGCCCGCGTGAGAGAGAGAGAGAGAGAGAGAGAGAGAGAGAGAGAGAGGGGCAAAACGCGCCAAAGCCCGAAACTGAAAGCGAGACGTGACTTTTAAGGGGTTGTTTCATATGGATTTATTAATCATTCTTACTGTTCAGTGATCGCAAACTGCCGTAGTTTATTAAAGACGCAAACTCCTCACTGCACGTCAGCTGCGCGCCTTCAGCAGATCTCCTCATTCCTGCAGCACGAGAGCTTTATGATTGTTTATGCGCGCCTAAAGTGGCGGATCTGTCCGGTAAAATATCTGACTGCGTGTCACTGCATCCCTAAGGACTGTTTGGCGAAATATTTGACTGCATGTCAATGCATAACAAACGACTGAAAGGATATAACTAGAGAACTTTCCACTGTGCTACTGGATGAGAGCGTATGGCAAGCCGTTTTAGCATTTAAACCTTGTTCAGACTATCCATAAATATATTTAGAGATATCTCTAATTATATTTTGACTTGTCATAATTATAATTCGACTAGTCAGATTGGAAATATCTGCAAATATATTATGATAGACTAGTCATATTCCTCCATTGACTTCCATTGAAAAATATTTGCAGATATCTCTAAATAAGTTGACTAGTCACAATTGTAATTAGAGATATCTCCAAATGAATTTTGACTAGTTAAAAATCCAATTCAAGATATCTACAACTGTAATTAGACTTTTAGTAAATAAATTAGAGATATCTTCAAATATATTTGTAAATATATCTAAATATGATGAATTAAAGATATCTCTAAATGTATTATGACTAGTAAAAACTCAGAGATATCCATTACAATTGTTACTTGTCAAAATTCATCTGATTTCGTACTAGTACAATTGAAATTGCAGAGATGTCTAATTGTCATTCTGAGTAGTGGAATTATAATTATGACTAGTCAAAATATAATTAGAGATATCTCTAATATATTTATGGAGCCAGAACAAAGATTTAAATGCTAAAAAGGCTTGCCATAGAGAGTGCTTCTCACTAAACAGAGCACCGCGCAACCTTCTATGTAATGTATTATCACATGCACTAAAAGCATCAACACAGCCACATTCTGCCCCAGCAAGTCAGTTTCAAACATAAAAAAAACAAACAAACAAACTTTGTGTCTTTTTTGTGGCAGGCAGATGACAATTGCAGGGCTGTATCTTTTAGTATAGAATACTTTTGTTCTGCCAGGTCTCCCGGGCAGGGTTTTATTTAGATTTATTTAGTTAATATTAGTTTTTGGAATTCTGTCCATTGGAAAGAAGTTCTTTCAGAAGAAGAACAGTTTTTTGAAGTATTATTTGTTTTTATTCTGTCTATTCAGTGTCCTTCAACAAGAACGGTGGTGGTGGGGTTCATAATATTCACAATGGTATTTTATTAGTTGTTGGTTTAACCATGGATGAGATAATGGCTTCTATGTTATTTTCTTTTCAATTACATTTCTTATCACATGTTCAAAAACAACAGCCAATACTGCATATCTATAATTTATATAATGGGTATAATTAAACAATACTTTCACTATAACGTAAATTAGAAGTGTAATAGAAAAAATATATATTTTTGCGCCATTTTGAATTTTACTCGAATACAAATACAAATACAAATACTTTTCCCCCTTAACAAATACAAATACAAATACAAATACCGGCTGCTCCGCACATCCCTATCAGCAGATCAGCTGCTTCTTTGGGTCCCAAAAACCAGACGTAAGCATAGAGGTGACCGTGCATTGGCAGTGGCTGCCCTTAAGTTATGGAATGCCTACCTTCTTACATCAGGAAGGCTCCTTCGCTGACTCTGTTCAAACAACACCTCAAAACCTACATTTTCTTCTTGGCTTTTGTCACCTGATCTGATATCTGTTTGACCGTATATATGTAACCCTTATGTGTGCAGTTGTTTTACTACTTGAGATGTATACTATGTGTTTGTGGTTAGTGTTTTAATCCGCTTGTTAAGTGGTGACGTGTTTGTGACGGATGTAATACTGTTTCCGGGTCCGAGCCGCCATTCATTTGAGTAGAGAAATCATTCGTTTATGGTTACGTTTTATTCCTATCACACATTAAAGTTAGTTTTATATAAAATCATAGTGTACACAACAATCTCTGGGCTTGCTGCATAACAAATACCGCAAATTTAACAATTTATTAAAAAAATTAATCACTTTCTGGTTATCGGATATTAGGCATGGACATATATACTGCGATTGCGATTTTCGAAAGCATTCGTCTATTATTACCATTTCCGGAGTCTCCCCATTTAGTTGAATAGAGTGCTTGGACCTGGAAGCCACTTTGCATGACGTCACACTTAACAAGCGGGCTTTTCATTTTACTGTTCAGCACTTTATAAAGAATTGTTGAACGAATGAATAATACAATTACAGTTTTTTATATAATGAACTGGCTGTTTAGAAAGTGTTTATGTGCTTTCCATTTTTTCCACAGTAAATACTGTATTTTAAAGCAGAGAAATGATCAATCAGACTCAGTGTCATCTAACTGTCAAGCATGACGTGCTTTAGCTCAACTGTATAAACAAAATCCTATTGGCTGTTTTCAATAGAGGGAGGGGCTATGTCTTCATGTTTTTAGTTAAAAATCTGCATCATTCATCGAATAATAATTTAATGTTACAGTCAGAGGACTTTTACCTGCTATATTTCCTCTAGTGTTGTGCTAACATGAAGATGTTTGTGTCCACAGTGAACGTCCTACCTCACCCAACACTGACTGTGCCATTCAGGGCATGCTGTCGATGGCAGGTCTGCTGTGTCCGCAGGCGTCAGGAGGAGCGGCTGATATTTTACAGCAGCGCTGGTGGGCCAGTCAGGGTAACGGCAGCAGCACCAGCAGCAGCAGTGACATGTGGGACAGCAGTGAACCCTGTTCAGCCCCCCGCAGCCCAGATGCAGAGGACGGCAGTCTGGGAGAGGAGTATTCATACAGAGAGAGCTCGCTTTCTCCTCCACTGCACCCCTCCAAACGACACGCGCCAAACCCCACACCCGTCAGCAACCAGGCCACTAAAGGTCAGCACATTGCACTTTCACTGCTCTTTCTTAGAACTACATTAATAATGATGGTAATCATAATAGCGGAAAGGGCATCCGCCGCATAAAAACATATGCCAGAGTAACTGGGGGTTCATTCCATTCTTGCCAAGGAAAGTGAGTGAGTGTTATTATTAATGTTTTGTTGTTGTTATTTCTTAGAGGAAAGAAACTTTTTTTTATTGCCATCATGTCATATGAAGCAGACTACAATCAAGACAGTGACAGTTATCCATTTTTTTTTTCTTTTTTTTTTACCAAAGGGCTAATTCAGACCCTTCAAAAATGTTATTCAACCTATGATTTGTTGTATTAAGTATATACAGTATATACAAGTACACCCCTCACAAATCTATGAGCAATTCCAACGTTATGGATGTGACATTTGCAGTAAAATCTCAAAACATAAATTGACAGAGAAAGTATATGTTAGTATTATATTAAAACATCCGTTTATATTTTTCAAAACAACTAGACACAGAGGTGTGGGAGCAGAAAAATATCAATCTTTAAACATGTTTTTTTTTTTTTTAAATAAAACTTTATTTTAAATTAAGAAAATAAAATGCGTTATGGATGTGACTAAAAAGTCTGCAAGTTTACAGTAAACAACATACTTTGTAGAAATTCTGTGAATTAAACTGCACTGTATTCACTGAGAAATGGCTAACAAATATTCATTTTCGAAATGGGATGTACTCCATTATGCTGAGCACTGTATAAGAGATATAGAATTAAGCAAATCAAAATTAAACCTACAATTGAGTATATGAGACTCCTATACCACTGTTCTGTCAATGCAAATATTTAAATTAATGTTCATTTTTTTTTTATTTAATATATATATAACAGTTTTGAACAATTAACATTTTTTCCTAACCCTTGGAAAATATGTAAAATAAGCTTTTTGTTAATAAATATATATTTGATTACATTTAAAGAAAATGTCAAATATTATTTTCAGTTTTATTTGTTAAAAATGTATGTTTAAAAAATGTAGTTTATATATATTTTTTGTTAACTTATCAACATTAAATATCATTCAATGTATGAATTATAATAATAAAGGGATGTCATTAATAAAACCTAATTTTAAAATTAAAAATATGTTTGTTCTGAATGTTTAAAATGATTCTTACCCTCTGGAAGGTATGTAAAAGAAGCTTCTTGTTTAAAATCTATTTGATTGCTGTTAAAGAAAATGTAAAATGTTTTATTTGTTAACTTTTCTTTAATTAACCCTTGCAAATTATGTAAAAGTAGATTTTAAAGTATGTCTTAAATATATATTTAATTACCTTAAAATAAATATCTATTACAATTTTTAAATGTATTTTTACATGTATTTATTAATAACATTTTCATAAATTCATTTATTTTCTTTTCGGCTTAGTCCCTTTATTATTCTGGGGTCACCACAACGGAATGAATCGCCATATCCAACAAATGTTTCACGCAGTGGTTGCCCTCCAGCTGCAATCCATCCTTGGGAAACACCCATACACACTCATTCACACACATACACTACGGACAATTTAGCCTACCCAATTCAATTATATCGCACATCTTTAGAATATGGGGGGAAACCGGAGCACCCGGAGGAAACCCATGCAAACACAGGGAGAACATGCTAACTCCACACAGAAACGTCAACTAACCCTAACCCCGCCGAGGCACGAACCACGACCTTCTTGCTGTGAGGCGACAACCCTACCCATTACACTGTCTAATCAAGCTCTTTATAATTTTTAACGTATTAAAAACACCTTACCATAGCTTCGAGAATTACATAAACACAATACTTGATGATTTCACATGACATTTTAGATGTCAAAATGCTTTTGAATGTTTTAAAGATTTATTTTTAACTCTTGTATAGCTATATATAACCTAGTCATGACCCTCAGATGAAACTTACTTATAGAAAACTTTATTTTTTAAGTATATTCATGAGGCAACAATCATGCACGCAACAGTTACACTTCAGAACCACTAAAATGTCCTGAATTTGTGTGCTTTTATTGCAGGAAAGCGTCCTAAGAAAGGACAGGCGACGGCTAAACAGAGGCTTGGAAAGATCTTGAAAATGAGCCGTCATAAAGGCTTATTCCTGTAGCATGATGGAGAAAAAACAAGACACGGCTGCTTTTCTTGATGCGCTGGGATTATTTCACACTCACTCACTGTGCATGTTTAGGCAACAGGGTATGATCACTTTCTTCACCAATCAATCACCAAAAAAACACATCAATTAGTGCAAGAAAACAGCTTTACTTTAGCCAACATCACAACATGAACAGCCAAGAGTCTCCAAAGGAAGCACAGAAGTGGACGGGAAAGAGTGTGTATGTGCGTGCTTGTGTGTCCCGAATTGAGGCCTCTTCTGTCCCTCATCTTTACCTCGATTGACGTGTGTAGCATGAAGCCGATGGTCTTCCTCATCCCTCAACAGGGCGGCACTCCATTGGACCCTCAGTTCCTCCTCCAGTCGTCTTCAATCTGTGTTTTTCCTCCTCCTCTGATCGTCTCAGGCTGATGTGTGAGCTTTTTATAAATGGTGCTGAACATTTATATGTCCTTCTCTCAAACCCTTGTGTTCCTCTTTAAGCAATAATTGTACAGCGGTGAGTGGTGTTGAGGATTTTACTGGGCCGCACTTTTAGGATGCAGGAAAAAATAAGTCCTCTTGTAGTGGAAGATGGTGTTGGTTAGAAAATCAAGTTTTTTTTTTTTCCTTCGTTTTGACTGTGTTTTTCTTTATTCGTTATTTGTTTGTCTTTATTATGTGGTTTAAAGTGTTTCTCAACCATGTTTCCGGAGGACCATCAGCTCTACACATTTTTCATGTCTCCTTAACCAAACACACCTGATTCAGGTCATCAGCTCATTAGCAGAGACTGAAAGACCTGTAATGGGCATGACAAAGGGGACATCCAAAATATGCAGTGTTAGTGCTCCTCCAGAAACGTGGTTGAGAAACACTGCTTTCGCGGAATATTATGATATTTTGGTGCTTTTTTTCCCCCTAAACAGTTTTATTGGGTAATATTTTGCTTGTTCTCATAAGTTTGTACATTTTTGTTTGCCTTTTTTTGGTTTAAATTGACGATTTTAAATATGTTGTGTGTCTATATATATATACATACACACACATACTAGCAGTCCTTTTGTTGGAGCTGCAACACTTTCGGTTAAGAAATATCCCAAACGTTTGTGGAAAACTGATAAAATACAACATAAATTTCCTTTATTCAGCATTTTCCCTATCTTTAATCTCTGGAGAGAATAATAATGAGGAAAAAAGCTATAGTAAATTTAACTATACCTCAGTTTGTAAAAAAAAAATGCTGTTTGATTGGTGTTTAAAGGTTTATTTTATCAAAAGTTATCATTTATTTAATCCAGAAAGTTCATGGAAACCTGGAATATTCTTTTTACACTGAAAATTGATACTACTAAATATATAATTACACGATTTTCCTCTCTTTTATTGGTGATTTGAACAAATATTCCTTTTTTGTTTTTTTAATAAAATTGAGGAAAATCTGCTTGCAATGAAAGTCTATTGTGTTTCAAGTGCATTTGATTGACACATTAGTACAAATTTCTGTAATATTATTATTATTATTATTAGTGGTTAAGTTCATATTACAATTAGTACTGGAAACCTGAAATCCTCCTGACACTGTGAAAATTCTCTATTGTACTTGAGCCCAAAAGAGAGAGCTCCTGCATCCTGAAGTGCCGCTGCTGCTCAGATATACTGTATATGTGATGTAGTTTGTCACGTGATTGACAATGATTTTCAGCTCATTCTGCATAATTTATCCTCTGAGATATTTTTGTTGACTTGCTTGACTTATTTATTAATTTCAAAGCTATAAGAATTCATATTGCATTCTGAGTTTCTTGAGTTTGTTTTTCTCCATTGCATTGAATAGTTCTGTAAATAGGAGTTTAATTTTGAATGTTACCAATACAAGAGGATTGAGCTTTTGTTTAGGTTCAGCTTTATGGATTTTTGTAGTTTAATGCTACTTAAAAAAGACATTAATGTTAAATTTACCTCGAAAACAAAATGTTAGTGCAGAATGACTTTGAATAATGTTGCTTTTTTTTGTTTTTGTCTTAAAAACTTGTTGAAACGGGATAAAACATTTCAGTGGGAACAAAACAAACAGAAAAAAAATTGGTGCTTGTTTGTGAAATTCTAAGAGAGGCTATGAAACGTTTTCTCAGGGAACATCGAACGGGTGACATCTTTGAATTCACCAGCACTGTCGTTCAGTCTCGTTTTGTACGGATTTGCCAACAAATGTATATATTTCCCATTTAATTTCTTTTTTTTTTTTTTTTTTTTTTTTTTGGGCAGTCTGCTGAATTTAAATCGCAGATTCAGAACAATGTAAATTATACAACATTTGTGAGACCCAAACAAGTATTCTTGACTGTTGTTTAAAAGGTCTGTTGGTTCAGTAAGCAGATATGCACTATTTTGGATCCACAGGACTCGAGATGGATGCTGAAACTCAGGCTTTGTTACAGTTTTGAGTTTTATGATGAAAAATGTTCCCACTTGTTCTCCTCAACATAAATGGACTAGTTGATCAGACAGGTTTTTTTTTGCTTTGACACATTCATTGTACAGTATTTATTAAGCTCGAGCATTCATTTCCATTATGGACTGTGGTATAAAGTTCACTGTGTTTATTTCCCCCCATGCTGTGTTCTGTTCCTCTTCTGATGTTTTGGATGCAATGTATATATGAAACATGAGGGAAATGTTTTGTAGATCACACTGTTTTTCCTCCTTTTTCCCCAGATGTTAAGTGATAAAACACTGTTCTACTTGCAAATTCAAGAGCCTGGAGTTTTTTTTTCTTCATTGTTTTATTTTATAATGCAACTTTTATAATCAGACTTGATAATAAGTCCATATGTATAACAGGAACTTTCAGTTTCCTCGACAGAAAAAGGTGTGATTGTGTCTGCAAATGCGAAGAGAAGAAGCATCAGTCATGCTGTGAGGAATTTACACCAGGTAAATGATGTAAATATATATTTATATGTACAATGAGGTGTTGAATCTACTCTTCATCATCAGGTGGGATCCCAAGCTCCTCATCAGTCCAGGCTGAAGCATCCGGCCAGGGGAAGTGACCCTAAAGAAAACATTAGTTGAGTGGCTGGTGATTATGAAATGGCTTTTATTTGATTGGTTTGTGATGATGTTTCTCCTCACCAGAATGGCGTCTGGTGTGTGCCAGGTGTGCCATAGGATCCAGAACCACATGAAACCGCCTAAGAGGTTGGCATTAAATATCTGGTTCTTGGCGATCGGTGGAGGCTGCCTGTAATGTTGCACACCTCCTGAACTAAAACAAAACACACAGAAGGATTGCCAGTAAGTACAAGATGTTTAAGTTATGTGTATGTACATGTGTGTAAATATATGTATTTTTATGTGTATTTGCAAATTGTGCTATAAGGCTACATGTATGTACCATTGATTGAATTTTAGATATTCAAAAAAAAATATTAATCAGATTTAAAAATAAAATTAAAGTTAACTTAAAATATTTATTTTAACAATCCAGAAAATCCCCAAAATAAAAAATATAAATTACAATGCTTTGTAAATGCCTTTTACAAATACAACTATTTGTGCAGGAATGTTACATTTATTATTTAAATACGGTTTATTTTTAATAGGTTATTTAACTCTTACAATACAAGTTCACTATACAAAGTATTGTTTTGACCTTGTATGACCATGTTTTTGACAGCATCAGTTTGCAATGCAAATTTCAAAATTCATCAAAATACCATTTATTATGAAAATGTAAGTCTTTCAGTTTCCCAGTGTTAGGTTGTGGCTGGAAGTGTATCCGCTGCGAAAAACATTTGCTTAATAATTTGGTGGTTCATTCCGCTGTGGCCACCACTAATTAATAAAGTAACTAACCCAAAAAGAAAATGAATGCAAGTCTTTCAGCATTGCAACTTTATGATTTATTTATGAATAAAGAGAGAATTTCTACCTAAATAAACAAAAATAAAGAGTAGATATTTTAGCAAGACATACTAAATCTGCTGGAAATGTTAGACACTTAAACCAGCTTTTACTGAACATTGTGCACACTAGGGCTGCACTATATTGGAAAAATGTAACATTGCAATATTTTGTTATTCTATGATTATATATTGCGAAATGAATCTCTATTTGGAAGGAATTGAACATTTCAGATTGATTGGGGGTGGTCATAAATAAAATATTATGAATCTACAAACAAATAAATTTAGGAAAGAAAAAGAAACAATTAAAATACACTTTATTTTCAATTTTTTGTATAGCAATATTTAGGTACAGTAATTGAATAAAATTAAAGTTAATCCTTATTAAAGGTACAAACTGTACAAATTCTTATGACAAAGTATTTAAAATATACATTATACAGTCACAGGCCTCAAAAACACATGGAAATGTTGCATATCATTTGATATCCTGCGATGTGACTATTGGGAACGATCACATTGGGATATTGAAGCTGAAACGATGTATTGTGCAGCCCTAGTACACACAGATTGGGTTTTAGTTGAAAGGTCTTGTTTTCCATGTTTAAACCCTGAAATATTTGCTTGAAAACAAAAGGAGAGAGCAAATGTTTTGTAAAAATGAGGCATTTTATGATTAAAATGTGTGCCAGTGTGCTCTAAAAACTTTATTCAAACTACATAATGTATTTGTTTATACATGAACCCACTGACAGATTAGTCTTATCCAAATAAATGCTTTTAAATTTCTCAAAAAACAAAACAAAAACAGGACTTAATTTGGTATCTTTTCATAAATTAAATTGACTTAGATTTTAGGATGTTTACTTTGCTTCATTGTAAAATACTAACTTAACGTTAACAAAATACATGAGTTGAAGACCTTTTAAGGCCCTAACTTGAGAGGATTAACGTTAATTAATTAATCACGATACTTCGAAAACCTGCCATGCTTAATTTGTTTCCAGTTATCACTAAAAACTAAACCTTAAATTTTAACCTTGCATTAAAGGTTGACGTCGTTAACGACTGTCTTGAGCGGTATTTAAGCCCAAAACAGGCTGAAGCAGCACAGTTAGCTAGTTAGCCTGCCAGTGATAAACACTCACTTTCTGACGGTCATCTGCTGAGGTCCGCGTCTGAACTGCTGCAGGCCCGCCCGGAGGACACCCGCCGTCCTCCAAACCGAAGACATGCTCAAATCTAAGTGTTTTACTCCTAATTTGGGTCGGATTAAGCTGGGTGACTAGAGAGCTAAATGTCACCTTTACAGCGGCTGTTTCTTTGACTTGGCAATACCGAGAGCTGTGATTGGTCGTTTAAAAATTGCCGTTTTATGCTATGCGCTGCATATTCGGCAGAGGGCGCCAAATATCCACTGAGAAAAGGTCGAACAAGTATGGAATATGATATTCATGCATAAATGGATCGATACATTTGTTATTTAATCAAATGACTATAAATTATGATTCAAACTTTTTTAAATCTGTAATTCGAATAAATGTACTACGTTGGATCAGTTATTTATTGGCTCTACTGGTTTATTGAACATTTCATTAAGTAGGCTACTGTTGTATGTTTCTCTTGCATCCTGTTAGAATCAGGCTTCTCTTGGCAAATGTTTTATTATCACAAGACCCTCAATTTATTATTAGTGTTGGAGTTACAAAAAGTTACTTTTAAAAGTAATGCATTACAATATTGAGTTACTCCCCAAAAAAGTAACGTAACATTTTTTTTAAGTAACTTATTACCTGGCTGAGGCTTGATCTCTTTTACATCTTGTTTTTTTTTTAATAGAGGAGCATTACAAAATAACGTTGTGTTGTATAACCTACATACATTTACCTATTAAAAAACGAACTAGATAGTGTTATCTCAGAACTTCCTGGCTCCAGAGCTCTACATGACATATATAGATTATTGAAAGTTTACAGCAATGTGTTTGCTTCTTTTGTACTGTCTTTTGTGAAATCTCTGTCCTTTGAAACTATAATCCCCACTTCCTTTTCTTCAAAGCCTTAAAATTATTGATTGCATTCTGTCATTGACTGCATGATTCAATATGACTACTTTCATTTTAATTCAGCAATTCGTTTTTAAAGCGAATTAAACTAAACAGTAACTCAAACATTATTACTTATTTTTAAAGTTATGCGTTACTGTACTTGTTACTTAGAAAAGTAATATTATTGCGTAACTCGGATTACTTGCAATGCATTACTCCCAACACTGTTTACTATTGATATAGTTTTGATTTTATGCAAGTGAAGAAACTCTGAACACACAAGTTGCAATTACATATAAAATGTTTTATTGGCTCAAAAAGCAACCAGATACATACATATTTTCCAAAATTTTCAGAAATATTTAATTTCAGACTATACATCCTCCATACATCAACTTTTGGGACCCTAGTGCCAATGCAACAGTCACATTACCTATTCACCAAACTATTTGTCATTATAGTTTTTCAACAACTATTTTAAGTAAGGTTGGCCCATTGTAACCTTTGATTTAGCTCACCATCCCATTTGAGAAAAAAAAAATGAGAATGATGGAAAGAATTGGGGCGAATGCCTTTAACAAAGATGGTAATTTATAATTTGATGCGTCACCTATCCTTATTTTGTTTCTGTTGTATTGCTGAGCTATGAAAAAAAGCATGTTTCATTTTGTAAATGAATCTGATTTTTAAAAATGTACATGATGTCACTCAAAGGGTAGATGACTAAGCAGAAGGCAAACACAAGTGTAACAACATTGTTATAAATGAGATTGTTTTTGTTTTTTCTGTAATGCTGTAAAGTTCATTGTTAAATGTAAAATTGCTTATTAGTTACTATAAAGCAATGTTTTCTAGTTATTTTAAATATTATTAAAAATATTAGGTATTACCCACGGCAACTACTGTATATTCACCTCTGGTCCACTAGCCCCAATCAAGTTTTGTTTTTGACCCTTTATAAGAAAAAGTTTAGGCACTAGACTGTAGATGTTGTAATGGACAAAAGCAGTAGCAGGCTAAAATAATGTTAGTAGTAGCCTACAAAGTTTGCCGTAAACTCAATAGACAGACAAAGTTGTGGTTAACCTTCTTGGGAATCCAATAAACAACAACAGCTCAAATAGCAGTGCGTGCTCCAGAAAATGCTCCAATACGCCATTTACTAATCATGATCCCCGGAGCAGCGCAGAGGCGCGGGATCGACAACATGGCGGCTCTGGAAAAACACAATCGATGAAAAACACGAGAGGCGTTTCCAAACACACAGCTTAACGAATGCAAGAAACATATCGCCTCTGCAGATATAATAGCATCGCATAACCTCGACATGCAGCCTCAGTCGGGATGTTTTCAGCACACGAATGGTTTTCTCAGCAGAACCTAAACAGGAAATGCGCGCCTCCGCTCGAGCCTTTTGTTGCGGCTCTTATTGTGACGTAACAGACCATAATCTGACTTCAGTCTCGATCAGTGCTTAAACTGCCCAAAAACGCACAGGACGGCGGGTTTTAAATGCGCTACGAGTCCAATTTAATGTGTGTAACGTTAGTGTAATGTGTTAATCTATCGTCGTAGTCAGCAAATTAATCCCAATTCTCAAATACAGCAATAAATGAAAGTGTGTAGCTTTTTTATTTATCATTTTTACACGAAAACTGATTTTGCTAATCAACATTTTTATTGTAGTTGAAATAATTGTGAGATCACAATACCGCAACTAACACATTTTGAAAGTATAATTGAAATGAAACAATAGCACCATTTCCTTGTTTTTTCCACTGTTGAACACAAAAGATGATATTTTAGATAGCTCAAAAACTAAACATCGTCTTCTATATCTTATTATGTGTACAGACAAAAGAAAAGGTTTGAAACTAGAAAATGAGTAAATGAAGATATTTTTAAATTTTGAGTAATGTTAACTATATCCCTTCACTAGAATGTTCTGTTGGTTAGCCTATTTCTCTGAGCAACATTCACATTCTTAATACAATATATAAATAAATAATCTCCCTGTAACATTCTGGAAGGTTTTCGGTAACCAAATCAAAACCTATATAATGTCTCATCTGGAAACAAAGTAACCTTTTTGTAATTGCTGTGGGGAATGATACACACATACATATATATATATATATATATATATATATATACACACACACACACACACACACGTTTTTCTTTTAATTTGTTAAAATAAATTCGTAACAGGTTTTATTTTTTGGAAAGATTTTAAAACTATGTATGAAAATAGCAATATATTATATTTAAATTTTTAAGGAAATATATTTTAAAATGTCTTTTGTAGTGATTCAAAGCAAATAGTTTTCACATCAGTGCAGTATTCAGTGTCAAATGATCCTTAAGAATTTATCCCAATTTGTATGTATGCTTAATCATTATTAATGGTTTTACATATTATTGTTGGTGTTTAAAACATTGACCAATACATGTCATATATTTGTAAATTTTGATATATTGTGCTTTTGGGAATTTTGTAACTTTTAAAAAACATCCTTAATGTCAAATAAATATAGATTTTAATAGACTTTTAGGCCCTTTATTAAAATATTTATAACTTTTTTCAAATGTAAAAAAACATTTTTTTTCCACAAAAACATTTAGCTAAATAGTTTCTGATACTGACAAAAATCACAAATGTTTCATGAGCAACAAATCATGTTACACTGAAAACTGCAGTGATGGTGCTGAAATCTTTACATCACATAATATTACTGCACTTTAAACACGACCGTTATTTTAAAATGAAACAGCATACTCTGTTATGGTCTAATAAATACACCCTTGGCAAGCAGAGCAAACATCTCACTTTTTCCAAACTTTTGACGAGTAGCGCAGATTTGTAATTTGTCAAATCATGCTGTCAGGGACTACGCAATTACGTCATGACGCACAAGAGGGGAAAAATCGCTGAATAGTTTATAACGGGCTCTCTGAAACGAAACACGGACTGCCCAAACTACACATTTAGATATTCCGTTGCTGAAGGAGACAAAAGCCTGTTAAAGTTTTCAGTAGTCCGCGTGGATTTTAAAACACTGGGCTGATGACGTACTCTCAAGGAGGTCAATCCATTTTTCGGCAATGGTATTTTCTGGAAAGGATCGTGACCCCGCCCAGTGTGAGCTTTGTGCAGTGCGCTTGTAGACGCCATCTTCTTACATCTTTTCTGACGCGAATATTGATGGTATAATATAATACTAATATACTCCGTTGAAGTGCTCTTCTTAAACGCCGCGATAGATGGGTCCACAGAGATTTAAGCGAATTAAATGGTTAATGACATTTTGAGTTAATGGCGCCCTACTGTCGTCCACGATCACGCTCGGATCTCCGGGTGCGCCGCTCTCCCCTCGCAGCTCAGAGCCCGCCCACTTGTGGAATTCAGATGATGTCATCACCAGCCAATAAGCGTCGAGAAAACAGGACAATGAGCGTATTATTGGTCAAGGGCAATGTCATTCGTTCTACTCAGGAAGGCCAGGGAGGGGGCGAGCGGAGAAAATCGCCATTTTGAAAGCGTAACAAAATGAACGATATCGACACTGAAAATAACACCCTATCTCCAAACCCGGTTGAGTGTAGCCCGTTTAATATCCATCTACAATCTCACAGTCCCGAAAGTTAAAACCTGGAGATGTTTTCACTGGCGTAGGCAATCCTGTACGAGACGACAGCATTTAACTATCTCTTTAGCTTCGTTTTCCTTTCAACTGTACAAATTCGATGCTCGGCGCGTCAAATCGCTGTTTTCTGCTTTGTCTTGTCGTGTTTCTTCACTCTGCGTTGCATAGCTCTTCAACTGCTAGTGGTTGGTTTCATAGCACACACTGCGCATGCGCAGGAGGATGCGGTTTAGATCTAGATCCACTTCAGTATGGGGGAGGGTGTTTGTATGTAGGGTGAGTTGCTCGGATGATGCCTTCTCTGGTTGAAGAGCAACATTCGGAGACCCGCAAAACAATGCCATTAGTTTAATAATTACCCATGACCACAATTGAAGCTCTTAATTTTGTTTGATATGTTCAAGTACATGCATCATTTTTCATCATGCACTTATGAGTCTACAGTTTTGAAGTGATTTAACTAAATGGGAGAAATAAATCTAAACATAAAAAGAGAGGGTCTGTCTACAGCCAACAGAAATATTACCTTTTCATTACCCTGCAGATGTTTGTGTGTATACTTGTGGTCATCTCACTCCGATTACCTTGAGAGAAAAAAACTGCACTTGTATAAAGGTTACATAACAGATTTGCAGCCATTTACTGTTTTGGGCCTCACAAGTAGGTGTTCGTATTCAACCATAGTAGGCAAAGACTTGCGTAGGCTGTCTTTCTCTTTGTTTTCACCTAAATCTTCTAGCTCTTATTATTATGTTATAAATGTTTTGACGTTTGAATACATAAATGGGGAAGTGATTTAAAAAAAAAAAGCATAGCTACGGAAAGGATGATTAGACTTCCACATTGGGAAACTATAAACAACACTACTTTACTACTTACCTATTAAGATACAAATTCAAGAATTGACTGGTTTGTATGTCCGGAAACACCTAGATATTTAATAAAAAAAAAAAAGAATAAAAAAGGTAATGGCATGATTAAAATTATGATCGCACAATGTTTTATTAACTCAACACTTTTTAATGGCAAAAACTAACTACTTCATTACATTAATAACAAAAACTATTTCTTATGCTTTGGTTTTAGTGATTTGAGCAAATTTTGAGTTGCTCGTCTGATTTAATGCTTGAATGACATCTCAAATCATGTATCTCACAGTACCGTTTCATTAATTTTAGTTGGATTTTAAACTGGAGGGTGAAATTAGCTATATTTATAAACCAAAGTATCCTCTGAATTGTTCCACACTTGATCAATCAACAATTCGGCAAACACAAACACTTAAATTTAATTATGTGTAGGCCCACAAGGAATCTTTGTGCTCAGAAATCTGGAGATTTCTACAGATTTTTAGCCCATCAGCCATTCTGTTTATTTACTTCTGTAAATTTTTTTTTTTTAAACAAAACTTCTGTGCAGAAATAGAAACAGTCCACAGATTTGGTCTGGCTCTGGTGATTAGTTATACTCTATGCATGTATACTAAGCACTGCATAATCGGTCTGCTTCTTAACATAGTCGTTTTAGTTAACAATACTTTATACACTAATATAGTATATGAAAATACATTAATACTCAGCAGCCACTTATGAGTTCTGTTTGTTCATAATATACAAGCTAAGCTTTCAAAACTTGTAGTGCAAGTCTCTGTTCACACTTCCAGACATTGGCAATTGGCATTTCGACGCCAATTAACTTTGAAAGAAGTCAAGCCAACCAACATTTTGGTAATAAATATTATCATGATTTTTTTTGTGTGTATTGCAACACACAGTGGGTGTATATTAGCATCATTTGTTTGCTTTTGTATCTGATCAAGCTTTCAGACCCGGAAACTGATGCGTGACGCAGATTAACAAGTAGATAAACAAGTTTCTGAAATTCGTAAAGTTGTTTTGTCCTTCTCATCTACATAAGGAAACAAACTTTTCATACTTCGGCAGTAATTGGAAAGTGCCCAATACTCATATTACCTGCATTACTAGACTAATATAGTTCACTAGTGAGTTAATGAAAACGAGTGAGTTTGTTATGCACAAGTAAGCATATTGGGACATTGTAACTCTGATATTGTGGCAGCTAGTTTTACATTTGCTGGTTTTATTAAAGATAGTAGTTCACTCAAGAAACTACTACTAATTTACTTATCTTAAGGCCATGTAACTTTTTGACTCATGTGCTTCGTCAGTAAAACATTAGATATTTTATTTGAAACCATTGTCAATGGTAATTCATAAGATGCAACTCAATGTCTATCAAAAAAAAAATTTAAATGGAAAAAATTAATACCTATATATCATTCAATGAGGTCTTATGATGCAAAACATCCAAGAGAGTGGAGATGTTTTACTCTAGCACATTCTGTCTATCAACAACAAAGAGTATAGACTTTTATGTTGTGCTGTTTATTTCAAAAGTACATAGCTAAATTAACAGTCATGTGTTATGAGTTTGCTCATGCTTCAGACATCAGTGTGATAAAGCTGTGGATAAAGGTAATAATGTTGTAAATGTTTCTTGCACATACTATTATTTTGCCTCTACAATGTATGGTCTGGTGCCACAGGTGTTAATTTTGTTTTGCCTGTATTAGCGGTTCATTCCACTATGGTGGCTCTAGTTAAAGCAAGAAATACGCCGAAGGAGAGTTGATATGCGTGTTGTTTTGCCATTGACTATAATTTTTATCAACCACTACCAAAGCTATGAAAACGAATACTAGCTTACAAATGGGTTGATTGAAAAAAAAACTAATTTAGTTTGCAAGTCCACTTAGGTTTAAGATATCTCTTAATTAGCGACTCGCTACAATCCTAATCACTGTATAATTAGTGCACTATTTTCTTCTTCATAAGTTTTATGGCGGTCGGCCAACTACACATCCATTATTTTGTTGCCTTCTTTAGGCATTAATTTCGCAGGAGGCTGACCGCTTCTCTACGGCGGACTCCTATGTTTGGAGTGTGTGATGATGAGAAGAATGCGCTCGCCGTGGATGAACCCTCTCTCCAGCCCTTGAGCTTCTGCTCCGGAAACCCCGCGAAATGTAGAGGCGGAGCGCGCAGTGACAGAGAGCCGGGCGGGGGCGCGCGGGGGGGGAGGCGGAGTCACGGCACTTCTGCCAGGGCCGCCATTTTTGCACAGGGAAAAGAGACAGGATTGAAGGGATCCAGTTTCTAACTGTCGGCATAGATATGGACAAAATTTTCGGGTTTTAACAAACGCAGACTTTACGTTTGGATTAGAGCTCCACGAGGCGAAATACGACTGCTAAACAGCGCGATTTGTTAAGCTTTGTTACACATCCGCAGTGGAGAGCGAAGTATTGTTTTGGTTGTGTGGTAGATCAGGCGGCGGGGTCTCACCCGAGTCCCCCGTGTCTTTATTCACAGTTATTACAGTGGACATAAACGGTAAGTACCTGCCGAAATCCTACAGCTAACGTTATGTGTTTGTTTATAACAGAGGGTTGTTTAATGACAGTGGCTAAGTGACTTGGTGTACAGGCTCCCATCCTTGTGTAGATGCTGAAAGTGAAGCTTTAATGAGCTGGGTTATTAGTTTATGATCAAATTGGACGTAATTACAATGTTATTACGCATTTGTAAGTCCTCCGTTGAAGGACTAAATCCAACCTGGTTGCCTGTAAAGGGGACAATCCGAGCTGTGTGTATGTGTGTGTGTATGACTTAATTTAGCAGCTAAGGTGGCTAGCTAGCTCACACCCACCTTTAATGCTTCACAAAAGGACAGATCTGAAATTATTACGCTATTCTGTCACGTAAACAAGCAGAAAAGCTGCACACAACAGTAGCGGAAACTCGGTGTCGTTGCTCTTGCGTTGTTGTAAAGCTGCTAGCTACACCAGCAGTCACTGGAGAAATGCTAGCAAGTTAGCCAATCAAGAAAGAAACAGACCAAGACTTGAATAATCTCTTAACATGCTGGGATGTGCAACAAAAAAGCTGCTTGGGTTATTTTAATTTGGAAGAAGTCGTGGTTACGACCGCGAAATGCTACTCCCGCCACTTATCTTCAATCTTGTTGGTGATGTGCAGCTTTACGATATTTACACGTGTTTTACGTGCATTTTAAAGAATGAGAGGTGTGAAATGTTTAAAATTGCACGTTGTGCTTTGACAGAGCCTGCAACAACAGGGCTTTTGTTTACACCTCTCAACCCCAACTAACCATTCACTAGGTCCACTATCAACCCATAACCAGCACGCAGATACACACTTTAAACCTTTTTTGACAGACATTAGAAGTATTATTACTCTCAAAACACGCTATGTTGTTTTACTCTATTGTTTTGGACTTGCGGTAATCGTTGCTCATACCACGACTCCGTACAGTACTGTTTAGCACAATAATGTGCTGATTTATCCAAGAGGACCCAAAGTTAGCGCTTATTTAGTGTCTGTCTGCTGTGTTTTGTGTGGTTGTGTGTTGATAATGAGTGCTGCAGCCGTGGGGGAGGGGTTCGGGCTCGGTTCATGTAGTCAGATCTGCTTTAGCTTCTCAAAGTGGACCAGAACCGCGCTGCTTTACCAGCGACTGCGCACTAATGTCAATTATAGTAAATAAACCGCCACTCGACGCGTTCTTATGATTAGAAAGGCTTGGGTTGATGTTGATTTGTGTATAATTGATTTATAAGTCTGTATAAGGAAATTAAACGCTCGAGTGTTCATATCGATGCGCATTAGCATAGCAAGCTAAGCAGTTAGCTTCACTGACTAGCTGTCCTGAGGATGTCGTTACTCGACTTTTTTACTCGTCCCAACGCGGATATTCTGGCTTTATAAACATTCTAACCTACCATTCTGGTACTTAAACGACACAAGAAGCCGTTAAAACGCACTTTCCCGCGCAGATAACCGTGTGTTTTCGAGGTTGTTGGCTAGTCGTCGTCAGTCAGAATCACTAACGTTAGCTACGCAGAAACGACGCACACACTTTGCCCCAGCACAGAAACAGCGCATTTGACAAATAGATACTTAAGCATGTGCGAAAAGGTGGGTTTCTTGTTATCTTGGCCGTTTTCTGCCAAATTTCAGCGAGTCTTCGAGCGCAGTATTTCCTCTCAGGTGCTTAGTGAAAATGGCGGATGAGTTGATGTTGTGGCAATGAAAGCCTCCACACCCCTAGATCAACTCACACACACTGCAGCGCCAACACACTCACACACGGGCAAGTGCACAACACGCACACACACCAGAAAAATACAGTGCTGTGTGTCACCAAATATGATTACAGACTGCGTCCATTGCGTTCACTGAACGTTTTAGCACTTAAACGAAACCATATGAGTGTGCTGGAACCATTAGTTGTAAATCTGGTTAAATCATCTCAAATACATCCAGGACATCCAAATCTCAGCTCATTCATGAAGCAGAGTAGCCTATAGTAAACAGCAAGTACTAATCTTTTTTTATGTTACACAATCGCTTTCCCCTTCAAGTTGGTGTTTCATTAGGGATTAGAAGATAATTGTCTTTACTGCAAGATAAAGTGTGTATTAATGGCCTATACTTGAGACTGGCATTGTCAAAGTGGCATACACCGTTCAAATAAAACAATAAACGTGCGGCACTCTGTGAAAGAAACAATAGACGATTTATTATCCGTTGTGTTTCATAGATGCCTAGATAAACATTTATTTATTGTTAGACTGTAATACTTCTACCCATGTGGGGAAGTTGTTTTATTCTGTTGATTCCTTTGGATGTTCTTTCAGCTAGGTAAATCTAAAGATTTTATAGAGGTTTATCCCACTGTGGCGACCCCTGCATTAAAAGAAAAGCCAGAATTTCAGTGGAAAACAGGTTTAATGTTTCCACATAAGCAAAATATTTCTATAAATGTGTATATATATATATATACACTGTAAGAAATAACTGTTTCCGTATTTTGTGATTATATCTGTCTTTTCCATTTATTTACAGTTGTGAATTGCATTATGGAACTTCTCTGTTGACTTTGTGTTGAAAATTCAGCTCTACAGTTTAGCAAAGCAACACTTTAGCAGTTTAAAATAATATAATGCGTAAGACATGCCATAGAGAGATATAAGTCTGTATAATAACAGAAAATGTACTGGTAGGTTATTACACGGTTATTGTACCGTAATATACAACACCAACCCAGACAATATATCTTTAAACTATTGAAATGTTAATAAAAGTCAAATTTTACCCTGAAAGGTTTTTAAAAAGTTTTCAAATGAAGATCAAAATCCCATAATGCAATTCAAAAGCATAAATAAACAGGGAAGAATAAATACATGAATCACATAACACGGAAAACTGTTAATTTACTAATGTTTTTATAATGTATAATGATTACTAACCAATTACGACTGTGCTGTCTTTTCATATGTAATTTTCGCACGTGTGCCTAAAGTTATTGGCACCATAGAGCAATAAACCAACACACAAGAACGAGAAACAAATAAGTAATATGTCCTGAGTAAAACTCAATGCCGTGTTTCCGCAAACATGCAGTGTGCACAGAAAGCTTCCTCTCTAAGACAGCATATGCTCTCAAATTAAGTTACTTGGTTGCCTGTTGTAGCACGTATTGCCATAAACACAAACATTGCAGATCTTTAATAATAATAATGTATATTGAATTTGTAGAAATAATTGGGGTTTTAAATGTTACATTCTTTTTTTATGTATATTTAGTTGCTACTGTTTATTAGCTGTACTGCACATGTGAAGCAGTTAATTGGTTTGTCGTTGTCTTGTATTTATCCCATTGTTGTTTCTGTCTTTGTTAAAAAATATCCACACTGTGACTTCTTTGTTGGTATCTGAATTAGGATCACTCATATTGGGAAATAAGATTACCACCCACTTCAAATACTTTCTTTGGAGAGTTGTTTACCTCACTGGAAAATTCATGACTATGAAAGGAAGGTTTGTGCAGCACCAGAAACCAACACAAGTGCATTGCCTTACCTTACAGAATTAACAGGAAACGAGATGTTTCACAAGCTCACACACAACCAACTGCATCTGAAAACTACTCAGCGATAACCGTTTTGGTTTAACAACCTCACTGTGCACTATGAGTACACTCAAGGATGCCGTTGAGTGTACTGCAGTATTGAAAAGAGCGCAACCCACACGGCTGTGTCATATTTCTCTCATGATTAGCACTCCCTCCTTCTGGTCAGCGGGGAGTTTACAGGTTCAGAAGAATGTGGTTATTCATCAGAGCAGTTTGATGGGGTAAACATGGGCCCTAAAGTGTAATGAATAGACGATGATGCAGCAAAAGGTAATCTTGGTCTTGGACAGGCGAGTGGCTGCTCATGCGTGAGTTGATGGTATCATTTGGGGCTTGTGTTATTTAGCCGGTCAAGCCATCAGTGTATTTGGTTGCTGATGTTTATGCAGTTTATCGCTCCTAATGTGTCTGGTTTCTTCCCATCAGCCTGATGCATATGTTGTCGTAGTTTTTGGGGCCAGGTGGAGTAGCTTACAGGGTCAAGCTGTGAGATAACAGCTGTGACTCGATTGTTTTGACATTGACAAAGACCTCCTCTCCTGAGCTCTACTTTCACCTCACATCTACTGCCGGCACAGCTGATGTATTATTTGGGAAAGTTTTGCAAAGTTCTCCCATATGTCTGTTATGGTGGGTACCACTCAATGCCAACTCGATGTAGCAAGCATTACATTAGCATAACAATATGTGTTTTCATTAATAAAAACAACCACAGAGTGACTTTTGGCATGGTGTTCGTGTTTGGAAAGGCTTTCTGTAATAACAACCAAGGCATTGGTCCAATAGTCTTTTAAATTTGCAATCTTTCCACATTTTGTGAAGCACTTTTTTTTAAGCCACAATGTTAGACTAGCCTCTGTGGTGCACGCTTTGGCAGCCACGGCCGAGATGTTGGTCTGAGACACTTGCCAAACACATGCTTCAAACCCTTTCTCCTCATGACAACACAAGCTTCAATATGGCCACAAAACATGAATGGATTGCTATCATCCCTGAATGCAGAATCTGCCTCACCAATGCTGCATTTTTGGTTAGTATTTTGTGTCAGGGACAGCTTTTTTTATGGAAAAGCTTGCATGCGGATAATGAGATGAGCAGACCGTGTACAGTGCAGGCTGTGGCTTTTTGACAGGCGTTTCCTGTAGATGGAGGTCCAATCGTTGGCATGTAGTGGTGTGACATCACAGTGAGGCTGTGTGCAGCTGTACGAAAAGGATGAAACATCAGCCTACGCACATCAACACACAGCTCACAACTTCGACAGTGACGCTAGAGAGCACTGATCCACGCGGAAAGCAGCAGAAGCACGCTTATCTGCTCTGCTGCACAAACCTTTCTTTGTATGAAAAATACACCACACTTGGAACAGAAACACTGTGGATGAACTTGAGTTCAGAAGCGAACACTCGGGGATCTGATGTTTTACAAATTCAGCCTTTTCCTTTTAAGGTCATTGCACCACAGGAAGCACTATGATGCAAGAAACCCTTTATATTTTCCACTTGAGCTATCTAAAACATCGAAACGTTCTCTTTTCCTCAGTATAAACAGCTCAGCAGCAGCTGCATTCGCCATCCGTTCTCATTCTTTGTGAGGTTGGCATGTCATACTCGCATCCTTGCCCCACTGCGCATGGGTGACTGAGCTCTATGTGTGTGAGAGGCCATGGGCAGTATCTGTTTGTTTTCTGTGTTGACAGAGGGATGGAGAAGTGAAGTGCCCTCCTCAAGAGACAAGGAGGTTAGAAAGGGAAAGAAAGGCAGCTGGCGGCCAATCGCAGTCTCAGGTGATGCATCTATGTGCACATACACGCTTCATCCTGGATGCTGTGCTTTTACCAATAAGATGCGTACAATTTATAAGTAGCATAATTTCTTTTGTCTACATCCTATATTTGATCAAACTGAGGTGTGGATAAGTGTGTATGCTGGTAGCTAGGTCCACCGGGAGCCCTGTTAGTGCCATAAGGTCACGTGAGGGATGTGCAGGGAGAAGCTGCGGGCTCAGGTAACCTGTTTTTGTTTGCTGTCTGTAACCGAGCTCTCTCTACGGGCTCTACCTACATGACAGCTGCCCTATACTGCAGACAGATAAGGGTGCAGTGTTTATAAATGTGTGAATGTTATTGTGTGGTGTTTGTGATGTAATGGTGTGAACCAAGCGTGAAATCGATAATGTAGCTATGCCATCATGGTGTCTGAGTGGCCCACACTGTCCATTTTGCCCATGGCACCATTGCGACAGACTGATTTGCAAATCTGCTATGAGTGTTATTGGAAAAAAACTGTAAATATTAGTGTCTTAATGAAGTTTGTTGATTGAAGGTAGGTTGGTCTCTGCTATCAATAAACAATGGACATTTGACTATGTCCATCCTGCATTTTTTGATAATATATTACAGGGTTTCCGCGAGGTCTTATAAAGTATTAAAAGTTGATAAATCAATTATGAGAACCATAAGGCCCTTAAAGGGTACTAAAAAGTCTTAATTGTGTTTTTGCTAGGTCTTAAATTTTGTTCAAGCATTGTCCAAATTGTTTGACTAAACAGCATAAATATATTTACCTTCCTCCTAATATTAACAATGGCGTGCTCGATCCACACGATTGGTTTGGGTCAGGGTGTATCCGCCCAAGCTAATTCATCTGGGTGATGTCACCAAATTTGAGACAAACGTTGGAAGGTGATGTGATACTCTCCACATGTAGCAAAACCATAGAAGGAACAGATGGCGAATGGGAAAATGTAAGTTTGCGTACTTCTGGTTGGAGAAAGACTGTGGCTAAAGTCTGTCACTGAAAACAACCACGTAATTTATTCTTTCAAGCTTTGTTACTTCCGATTTCATCTGAGTTTTGTTGCACAGTTGTGCTCCATTGATTAATTTAACTACAACAGTTTATCAACTGGTTATTAACTTAAAGGTTTGATACTGATTAGAACTTGAAGCGGCGATAAGGACTTAAAATATTCTGAGAAGGTCTTTAAAAAGATATTGAAATTATCTTTAGGATTCCTTCATATACCCTGTCTAATTATAGCTTCATTTTACATTGCAATTCCAATAGTTAACTTGGGTTTAATGTTTAACTTGTGTTAATATGTGCAAATTTATATTTATTCAGCTTTTAAATTAATTTCAGTAATATTATTGACTATCATGAATGTTCATTTTGATTTGTTTACAATACAGTTTGTAAAGTAATATTTAAATTTTTTTAAGAGTTATTACGCGAGAGATCTAATCCAATTGACATTTGTTTGTAAACATTAAATAAAAGTTAAAAAGGTATTATTTTTGTTTCATATGATAAGCTTGTAGTTACGTTACTTCCAAAATTATTCTGCATAAATTCAAAGATTTTTTTACAATATTCTAGCAGAAATATCAAAAAATGTCCGCAGATTCTGTTTGGAATTACTAATAACTAAATAAGTTATGTTCGATTTGGACAAGGCTGTCAGTTTTCGAAGCATTAAAGCTAGGTGGCATTTAAAAGCACGGGCCCACTCGCTTTTTAAGGCTGATTTATACTCCTGCGTCAAGCGCACGCGTATGCTCTGGCACAGCATAGCCCTTGCCATTGGTGACATTGACGCGCACCTCTCAAAATAATGTAACAACACATCGCAACAACGTGTGGCACAAGCTCTGTGATTGGTCGGCTTGGAATTGCTGATGAGTGTGGGCGGAGATGAGAGCTGCGCGAGCTTGATGCAGCGTGTATTTACAAGTGTGAAGTCCCATGAAGGAGCTCTAGATGGAAACCGTTGTTTTGTGTTTACCTTATGATTAAAGTTGTTGCATGTCCCCCAATTCCTGCCTTAAAATAAGCGAGTTTGAGCCTCTTCTAAATTAAGGTAGCATTCAGAATAAACAAAACACCAGCAAAGAAACTCGACACAGAGGAACATAAAAACACCTACTGCCAGCTAGCATTTCTTAAGTGTTATTTCAGAGCAACACAAAAGTACCACATAAGTATAAATGCACATCAACGCGCAAGGCATGCGCCATGCGTTGTAAAGCAGGCTTAAAGAGCACAGCCACTCAATACATTTTTGGGATATAATGGAAACATGGCTGTAGACACTCAGCGTTGATCAGCCTTGTTCAAGATCCCCTAGCAACCACATATCAACATTCTAAACAAATTCGAAATCATATAGTTACAGTGAGTTTTGCAAGCATTGCCACTTGTCGTCTAGTTTTTGAGCAATCTATATGAATCCCTGATAGATGGGGGATGTGCATCATTGATTTTGTTTATCGTCAGTCATCCTTATCTAATTTAAGAATGTCAAGTGGCTACTCTCTGACCATGATGGAGATGCACTGTGGTCAGCCGCTTGGCAGACTTTTAGCACAGAAGCCATTAACCTCATTAACGTTTGTTAGAGAAGCCAAGATAAAATACAACCTGAGACCTGTCTTTGCTTACTGCCCCAAATCGAAAGATCCCACCCACAAATTAGTGATATTCTGATTTATAGACTTGACGTAGTCTGTTTTTTTTTTCTTTCATTGCCTGTTTTAGCATCCAGCAAGCCATCGTTCATCTCTGTCATTGAACATTTGGCACAAGTGCTTGGTCCTTCAGTATGAAAAGTAGTAAACATACTAGAATATTCCAGTGAGCATCTTTCACATCAACAACTGGAGCTGGCCGGTGGCCATGATTGTGCTCCGATTGTGGCGTATTTGTCTCACAGCGAGAGACACGAACAAGGTGATACAACCCCATACCTCATGAATCTTTATCAATGACTGTCAGGAAAAGCTCTCGCCGTGCGTTCATGCATTTTCGAGGCACGTGGTTGTGTAGAGCCTCTGTGTAGCGTAGGCTGCAATGACTCAGCCTGCGAGAATGGTGTGAAAGCTAGTGTTCGGATGCCTGCTTTATTTCCATCTCTCCCTGCTGAAAACCAAACACCACAAACCAGGAAAATGACTGAGGGAGAGAGAGAGAGAACGAGGGAAAAATGGGGAGAGAAATGAAGAAACATGTGTTGACACTCCTACATGAGTCTGTGGGTTTCCCTGCGCTGTAGCGAGCAGCCGGAAGGAGGAGCTTCCCGTACGACATTGTGTCCATACAGAGAGACGAGAAAAACAGTTGGATTCGTTTCGGTGCCAGAATTGGTCCCTCATGATCATTTCTTAGACGAAGCCACAGGAAGGACAGGAGAAGAGGATGCTTCTCTTTTATTTGTCTCAAAAGCTGCGCATCTTTTCATGGGGCTTTTTAAACGGCTTCTCTTTCCTCATGACCATTTAATTGGTCTTGTATTCCTGCAACCTTCTCCCCCTTTTTTCCTCCCCATCCACCCCTCCCTTTCCGTCCAAGTGTCAAGGGTTTATTTAGGAAGTGCAGAGGGGAGGGAAAGAAATCCGGGTAGGGCAGGGAAGGGTTTTCTTTCTTTTTTTTTTCCTCCCTCTCTCTCTCTTTCTTTCTCTTTTGAGTGGCAGACGCTTCTACTGAAGGAAATGGGCGTGACGGAGGCTTGGATTTAGCCAGGAATGCTCTACTGTACTAGATTTTTCCACACCTCTCCGAAGAGGGAGATGTCGGCTCAATGTGTGTGAGCGCTTGAGAGGAAAGAAAGGGTTCGTCTGGGTGTTCAGAGGACATATGTGATGGTTATCTGTGTGTGTATAGAGAGAGGCAGTGCGCATGCGTACATTCCTGAGCAGTGACGGCAGGATTGCCCTGCTGTGGCCAAGAAGAACAGACTCAGTGTGAGAAAGCTGGAAAGAGACCACCGTATGCTTTCTAAGGGAAATGGGTTTATTACACAACACTGTTGTCTGTTTTTCACCCTCTTCCTGGGTTTGTTACGCCTTCATGAAGGCATGGTTACTTAAGCTCCACTCCAAAACATAGCAAGCTGCCTACCAAGGGAGCATTTTAAGACACCTGTGGCTTGATTGTCCTACAGGATTTGGTTTTAACAGCAGTGTATAATCCCTGTTTCCAAACACTTGGACTTCTTATGACCATAACAAGTCCAGTTGAACTTACCAGTTCTGTCTAAACAACCACAGTTAAAATGTAATTTATTGCGATCACTGTGTGTGCTGACTGCAGATTTTCATCGCAACATCTAGTTAGGCAAATATTTTTGCTCGCCTTACTCCTACGAATATGCTCTTTGTAATTTTGTTAAGTTTCCTTTTTAAATATGATATAGCAGGATGGGGCGTCATGGTGGGGCAGTGGGTAGCACGATCACCTCCCGGTAAGAAGGTCACTAATTTGAGTCCCGGCTGGGTCATTTGGCATTTCTGTGTGGAGTTTGCATGTTCCCCCAATGTTGGTGTGGTTTTACTCTGGTTGCACCTGTTTCCCTCACAGTCCAAAGACATGTGGTACAGGTGAATTGAATGAGCTAAATTGGCCGTAGTGTATGTGTGTGAATGAGTGTGTATGGATGTTTCCCAGTGCTGGGTTGTGGCTGGAAGGGCATCTGCTGCGTAAAACATGCTAGATAAGTTGGCGGTTCATTCCGCTGTGGCGACCCCTGATTAATAAAGGGACTAAGCCGAAAAGAAAATGAATGAATAAATATAGCAGGATGAACTATAGTGCCTTTTTTCAAAAAAAATATTTCTGACTTTCTCTGACATTTTTTTAAATCACAGTAACAAACTAAATAAATTGTACAATAATAATATTAAAATCAAGCATTTTCAACATTTTGTGGAGGTCACATATAAATTTAGTTGAAGTCCTTATTTAATAATGTTAATTCTTTTTGGTTTATGATTATTATTGTATACAGGAA